GAAAAATAAAATAGGCATTTCACGCTTCACGGAAAAAAAGGAGAACGTTTTGCTTTAAAAAAAAAAACTTATTAACACTGTCACATTTGGTAAAACCATGCAAACTTGCTGTCCTTGTTGATGATCTTGGTCATCTCGGACATCGCGTTGATGCGCTTCCTCCATTATGGTCGAAATAGACGAAACAGAGGATGAAAATGATGGCTGATGGTCACCAAAAACCAGTACCAACCACGTTGTCGCAACAGGGATCAACCGCCCTGTCACGGTCACGCAATATCATTTATTACGTAATAAAGGTTGTCGAAAATAACAAAGACATAATGAAAATCACGGTTCACGGCGAATTAAACACTTATTTCTCTTTTCACAGAAAATAATTTTTTCAAAATCACGCTTCACGGCTACTATGGAAATCACGATTCACGAGGAAAAAATTAGCCATCTCACATTTCATGGGGAAAAAAAAGGGCCGATCAGGAGTCACGAAAATACCCTTTACCACCCTCAATGAATGTACGGGACTGTGCGAAATCTCTACCTTGCGGTTATGCTGATTGTCCTTGAATGCTGTCAAACTCATGACATGTCGTTGTATATAGAAAGGCAGACAGACTGTTGAGTGTGTTGATGTATGAATTCCAGAAATAACCACCCCACCCACCCACCCCTACCCTCTTTGGTATGCGGTCAGGAAGTGAGAAATGCTCGGAACCGTTTGCATATCCTATTATATTACTCAAAAAGTGACCTGATCTCTTCTAGAGTTTTTGACTGTCCCTTGAGACCCTCAATATGTCTTGGTTCCAAACCTCACATCAGCTGACCACCAAAGAAAACAAATTCCAAGCATTTAAATAATTATTATAATGAGCCCCCCATGACTGTACTAGCATTCCAGAAGTTATGGGTTGTTAACCCTCGCAACTAATAGCAGCCAAAGAAGAAAACCACAAGAAAATTCAAATTTTTTTGGAAAATCCGGGGAAATAAATAGAACTATGCAAAAGTTCTGTCAAAGAAGTTTCGTTTGAATGGTAACACCATAGGATTTCATCCACAGATTCAAGAGTTAGAACTACATACTAAATAAATAGCACCATATGAAAGTACTGCTGAAGAGGTTTCATTTGAATGGTAACACCATAGAATTTTGTCCACACAAATTATACTACTATAATGTGGTCTTGGAGTGAAAAGGTTCTAGGCGATGCCATTGGGCAGCTCCAAGCGAGGCCAAAATAACAACTGCTAATTGCCTTGGGAATATGATTACCAACACTACAAGTTAGGGCCCATTTACATGGAGGTGGGGGAGGTAACATGCTTAGGTGGGGTAACCCGCCTGTCCATATAATCTCTCACATGGTCACCCCACCTATTATGTAAACATGATCAAATTAAAAATAATGAGAGATTATAAAGACAGGCGGGTTACCTCACCTACCTCCCAAGGAGGGTACTCCAGATTTCAAGTGAAAGGGATGATCAAATGGGGGCAAAAATGAAAAACCCAAAAAATCCCAGGGCTTCAAGCAAAATCCAAGAAAATCCCTGGACCAAAATTTAACCCCAAAAAAATCCCATGCCGAATTTGAGCCATAAACGTTTCCAGAAAGCATTAAATGATATAACACGAAAAATAGAAATGTTAGTATGGAATGTTTGTTAAATTCATCACACCATCTGGAGTAAGAACCTTTTCCTTATCTGGTGGTCATTGTAACAACACTCGAGACACCCAAGAACATATTAAACCAGTTGCAACACAAGTTTGGTTTTACTTTATCCACGGACCTACGTCATTTACATGGCCGGGTTACGCGGGAACTATCATGAATCTTCAGATTGTTTTGAATACCCAAATCAAGCTACCCAAAAAAATATGTTCCAAAATTTTCCTACCCATAAAAATCCTGAGCTCGAAAATTTCAAATCCTTCGATCATCATTGTCACTTAAAATACGGAGGACCCCCTTGGGGCCTACCTGCGGTCCACCCATCTCAATGTAAGCAGGCCATTAGTGTCATATGGCATAATTATTAATTTTATGGTTTGCCTCAGCAAGTTTTTGCTGATGACATCTTCTTTTGTCACTTAGGTCTTCAGAGATGGCCTATTCTATTCCATCCTTCACATCTCCTGTTTATCTCCCCAAGTCTGATTATTCTGATCAACAGTTTATAAAAGATTTTGATAAGTACACTCTGGGGAAAGCATTCTTTGATCTGAAGGAGTTTGACAGGGCAGCTTTCTTTCTAGAAGGTTGTACCAGCCAGAAAGCATACTTCCTTTATATGTATTCACGTTATTTGGTGAGTAACAACAGTTTTGACAGAAATAGCATTTACTGTGTAGCTACTGTTTTGTTTAGGATATATAATCTGTTTTTTTTTTGTTCATCTCTTGTATCATACAATGTATGAAAAAGCAAATCTTTACAGATAGGTTCCCTGTTAATAGCAAAATACCTTTACACGTCTTTTGACTATTAAAATGTGTTTTCTTTTAAAGGCTGGTGAGAAACACAAAAATGATGACATGTTGGATATATTAGGTGGGTGTGGAAATGTGCTGCTTTTCTTGCTTTGCTTTGTTTTTGTTAAGTGCTACATAGTTGACTAACGATCACAGCAGGCTTGTCTGTTGGACAAGCAGCTTAAAAATCTTCTTTTTGTTGTTTCTTGCCCCGGTCATTGCTTGCTTATCCTAGTTGATAATTTTTTTAGCCTTTTCTAGCTCTAGGTTGTAGTTTTAGATTTAATTTTTAAACATTTTAAACAGTTGCATTTTTGCTTTTCTAGCCTTTTCTAGCTCTAGGTTTTAGTCTTAGCTTTTGATGACACTGGTTGTAAATTTTGTTTTTCCAGCCTTTTTATTATTTAGTTAGAGTCTATTTGTAAGCCATTTTTATTTTTTGAGGCCTTTTTTTTCTCTGGGAAACTCTATAGGGCATTTATTTTTATGGATATAGTGCTATATAAGTAGATATTTAATTATTATGTTATTGTGAAAGGTTTGAACCTAGGAGTCATTTGAAAAGTAGGTTGAGTTTCATCGTCCGGGTGAACGTAGTCCTGAATATAGGACTGTTGTTGTTGACAGTGACTGACGTTTTCGCTAACCTGTGTGGTAGTCATCTTCAGAGTCAAAGTCAGTTGTATCACGTCAGTTGATGGTATTATACTCTGGTTATTCATCTGATTGGTCAATTATGTCGCGATGTTATTGGTCGTCTGTCAGTTAAGCCATGATGTGATTGGCAATGAAGACTCGTAATCAGTAATTGGTGCGTTTTGATCCGTCTATTGTCACAGTTTATTGTCACGTCTATTGTTAGTCAAATTGTCATTCTCTTGTAGTAAGTTTTGCTTGATCTTGTCAATAAGTCGTTTTATTATTATAATTAGAAGATATTGACTTGCCCAGAACTTTGCTCATTAGGCAAGTCATCTTAAAAAGTTCCTTGTCCATTGAGAATATCTACTCTTCCTTGATGAATGGATAGGACTTTTTTTCAAGCCCTGAGTACAGAAAAACAGTTATGTTAGAGAAGTTGATGAATTTCACACTCCACATTCACTCAGAGTTGTGGCAAAATATTCAAATCAGTAGATTTCAACCAAGCACTGTTGAATCATGAATCATAAAATGTTCCTTTGTGTTATTGCAAGTCTGGCAAGAAATTATTTAGTTTCAATTTTGTATCTCTTATTGCTTTACAAGGTCCACAAGAAACTGTGGCAAACAAGGCACTGACTTCTTTGAGAGCAGAACTGTGTGGAAAACACAGAGAACTTGATGGGTTTTGCCTTTACTTGTGAGTGACTGTGCAACATAATTATATCTTTTACATTTTTCTTTTAATTTTCTCTCACTGTTGTCTAGTTTTTACTTTATCTGTCACAATTGACCCTCATGAGTGTGCAAAGAATATCTTCCTTTTTATCTCTTATTTGTGGAAAAAGAAAATCGTATTATGTTGAATTCTGTTCTCTTCTGAATGTGACTGAGCTTTCTTAAGCTCTTCTTCCTTTCTTTACATAAAAGCTCTAAAACAGCTCAAGAGTAACTGCAGGATTTGTATCTCATATGTGTCCATAGGTATGGCATTGTCCTGAAGAAGCTTGATTTAACAGAGGATGCCCTGAAGGTGATGCAGGAAGCTGTCAATAAAGAACCACTTCACTGGGGAGCATGGCTTGAACTCTCATCTCTTTGCACTGAAAAAGAAATTGTAAGGCTTTTTTGGCAATATTTGAACACAACAATCAATAATTTCTTGACCTAAATCTACTAAATAGTTCCAAGGAGACCAGTTAATTTTGTTCTGAGACTTTTCTAGCGGGCAAGAAACTGGGAATTATTCAGTTGGGGGTGTGTGACATGTGCATGCCTGGCCCTATTTCAAATTTTCCAGGCTACCTTGTTTCAGACGTTCTGTTCTCAACATGCAAACCGTCAATGATCTTGTAAACAGTCGGCTTGGAAATCCATGAAAGTCAGGTTGCAACTGGAGCTGGTTGTTTACTAGGAGAGTGGGTTCTTGCAAGTTACCATTTAGTTAATTTAGTCTGGGGACAGTCACTTGCAGGAGCTTTAAGAAAGCAATAATGCCTCGTATATTTTGTTTGAGTACTAAAAGGCGAATCTTTGCTGACATCATTGTTTACATTTTTGCTCATTAGCATACTAGTTAACCAATAGAAGGCATCACCGTATGCACAAATTAAATTCAAAAGCTGAAAGAGCTGGATAATTTGAGCAATTTTCACCTCTTTGCAAGCAATGACAAAGGAAATAGCAGCCATCGAAAACTGTGAAATTGCTGGGTTGCAAAAACGTTCATGAGCCCATACATTGTTTGTAAAGTTTTGAGTTTTTCAAAGATAATTTTTCCGAAACTGTTTGCCATACCAGGCTCAGATTTCTCAGAAAACTGAAATTGTTATGCTCTTTAGTTATTCAGAGAGCTTATTTTAGTAGCTTAGACAAAGAATTAAAAGCATATGCTAATGAGGCAAAACATGTAAACAAAGATTCGCCCATATACGTCTTAAAAGCTTTATTTTTATAAATTATCACCTTGGAAGTTGATGAACCATTAGTGCTACTATCAATGTCATTTTTTTCCATTTTCCCAGCTTCAATCTCTGTCTCTCCCCTCTCATTGGATGACACAGTTTTTCCAAGCTCATGTGGCCATTGATCTTCAGTCATATGAAGAAGGACTGGAAAGATATTCAAATCTCAGCCAAGCTGGATTTTCAGAGAACAAATACATTTTACTCCAGACAGCACTTGCACAGTATCACGCAAGAGGTGTAGTACTTTCAATTCAATACAAAAACAGAGTTTGTCCTAACTCTTGCATTTTTTTTGTCCAAGGCCTGGAAAACTCTTGAAATTTTTTTTCTACCTGTTCTTTGAAAACTCCAAATTGTAAATGGAACATAATAGTTGTTTACCAGTAAACACTAAGGAGCTTTCAAGAACTTGTTTGAAAGTGTCTGTAAAATATTGGAATTTGCAAGTGTTTGTTTTTTAGAAGTGCTGAAAAATGAAGTAACTGCAGAAAAACCTCTCAGAGTAAGGGTTAGAACCAGGACTTTTACCCCCAGACGCATAGAGTTGGAAGCCAAGGATGTCACCGCTGGGTCACTCCTGCTTCCTGAGGGATACAGTGGAAGAATAAGGGCTACTTTTTTCCCTTGAAAAACATTAAATAATTAAATAAGTTTAAAAACGTCATGTTAGCTAAGCAGCTAAGCCTTTTGCGTGAGTTCTGGACCCTGGAGTTTTTTATCAGGGGCATCACGGCCGGGAAACTGGACTCCTTTCGACTCGATTTCGTTTCCGTAAGTGACGAACGCGGATCCGTAATCAATGATTACCTCTAGTAACCAATAGTAAGCTATGAATTCGTGGGTGTGAAAGTTAAAGGCTCAAATTTTGTTTCTCACTCAAGTCTACCCTTATTTTCCTAAGATTTATAAATATTTCATGAAAACCACGTATGATTATTATTCTTTTTGTGTAATGCAGATTTTGATGCAGCTTGTGATTTATTCAAAGAGGTGCAAAAAAGAGATCCATACTCACTGGAACACGTGGACACATACTCTAATATTCTCTATGTGAAGGTTAGAAGTGGTTGATCTGTGATGGGTCAGAGCTTTTCAAATTACATGCACGGTAAATGCAGAGGTCGAAAAAAAGTCCCGTCCATTCATCCCGGACAAGTAGATTTTCTTCCTGGACAAGTAACTTGTAAATTCACTTGCAATGTCCCAGGCAAGAAAAATCTGCGAGCTGCTTGCCCAAGGGACAATCGTTAATTGAATTTTTGCTTCAAGCTCTGTGAGTGGAACACTAAATAATTAAAACAAAATATCTGCAAACATAAGTAAATCTGGACGGACAGTCACAATAGGGCCATTTATACGAGGAAAAATAAGAGGCGTCTTACATAAGACGCGTCTTAAATAAGACGCGAACTTTCCATATAAACGGTACATTTCGTCTAAAATAAGACGCGGCTTAGCTAAGACGCGTCTTATTAGATAAGACATGCTCGTATAAATGGTACAGTTCGCGTCTTATTTAAGACGCGTCCTATGTAAGACGCGTCTTATTATTTCGTCTAAAATAAGACGCGGCTTAGCTAAGACGCGTCTTATTAGATAAGACATGCTCGTATAAATGGTACAGTTCGCGTCTTATTTAAGACGCGTCTTATTTTTCCTCGTATAAATGGCCCTAATATAATGAACTCTTTTAGGAAATGAAACCAGAGCTGAGCTACTTAGCGCACCATACCAACAGCATTGACAAGTATAGGGAGGAAACATGTTGCGTAATAGGTAAGTCACCTGTCACTTCCCAAACCTTTAATTCTAAATTATCAACATCTAGACTGTTTACATGTTTTTTTATCTTTGCTTGCCATTAAAGCATAGTGCAGTGCAAAGTTGGGAGAACTGCAAATAACAGTTAGTTATCAGGGTGCAAAGAAAGTCAGTTTTACAACTTGCCATTTGGGCAATCTGCAGCTTACATGTACTAGCCCATCAAAAGTCATTTCAATAAGCGACAACTTTTTTGGTTCTTCCGACTAAAACAGTGACGTGGGCGGACATACGACTTTTTTCACTTTTTGGCACTTCTTGCCATTTCAGTATTCCCCTACTTACCAGAGAATAAGCCTGCTTTGTGACAGCGAACGATAATTCAGCGAATGTTTTTTTCTAGGAAATTACTACAGTCTTCATGACCAACACGAGAAAGCAGTGACGTATTTTCAGCGAGCATTAAAGTTGAATCCACAGTACACATCTGCCTGGACGCTGATGGGACATGAATTTATGGAGAGAAAGAACACGTCAGCAGCCATCGAAGCTTACAGGAAGGCTATAGGTACGCGAGATATTTAAATGTCATCGATCCCTCGTAGGTCTGCGTGATTCCTGTCCTATATAGTTCGTTCTTTTTGCTTTGTAGTACTTGGTGGGTGGGAGATTTCATAACAGCCATAAAGGTAATTCCCCTTTCTTTTGGAGAGGAAATAAACTTGGCTTGTGATACCCCAATTTGCCGCTCTGTGGTTCCCCTCAAAAAAAGGTTCCAACCATTTGAACAATCTACCAATATTATACATCTCTTGGAAATTTTTTGAAATGACTCATATTTTGACCTGCGGATAAAGATGTGAAATGGACATGATCTTCGCAGTTGATAAACAACCTAAGCGATTGAAAAAGAACCTCAAAAAAATTCAGGCTTGACGGAGAATCAAACCTGGCCGTTGCGATGATCGGACGCGCTATCCATTAAGCCAATGGAGTCAACTGGAGAGTAGGCCATTGTGAGTTCGTAATATACACGATGGTGGAATGACAGGAATGGAAATGGTGAAATGACCCTTTTTTTGAACTGCGGATAAAGATATGGACATGCATCTCTGGTCCAACACAGACAAGCTGATAAGGTCTGTGAAATTTACAGGGGTAACCAACGACGGTTTCCTCCTAAATGCATTAAAACACTTTTTAAGCTATCCAGAATACTTTTAGATCTCTAGAAATGCATTCTAAGCAGCGCTGTAAAATCTGTATCTGTTCGTTCATTCTAGGGCAACTTGAGTCTTTTCGAAATTACAAGGGCTTCAGTATTATTTTCCCGAAAATTTTGGATGCAATTTTAAGTTTTACGAAAGTAAATATATTTTTCCTGATTCCTTTCTCCATCGCATTCTCGAATCCGAAAATTGCAGGTTTCCTTTTCTACGAAAAATAGCTTATTAAACCTGGGGAGTGAAATCAGCGAAAAATTTAACTTTAGAAAACCGTAGGGAATTAACAAGAAAAGCTTCGAAAATTGTACATGAATGGAACGGTCCTCTAGACATTTTTAGCCTTCCTCAAGCTATATAAAATTCTAGACAATTTTTGCTTCTCCGAACAGATATTTTACAGAAAACGGTCGTTGGGTGCCCCTAAATTTACCCTGCGAGGCAGGTGCAAAATGGGGAAGGGAGAGGGAGAGAAAACAGAGAAAAGGGAGATGGGATCTCCACAGGCTACAGCAGTTTCCCATTTCGCGCGCAAAATCTTCTCCACAGGCCGCAACAGTTCGTCCATTTCGCGCGCAAGATCTTCTCCACACTGATGTATTTATTCCCTCCTCTTTTCCTCTCGCCTTTTATACCTTTCTCATTCTCCCTCGTTTCCTCAACCAAAGAAGACTCTCTAAATAAAATTTCATCTCACGCATAAATTTTTTATTCCTTTTATTTGTAGAGGTAAACTGCCGGGACTATAGAGCATGGTATGGATTGGGGCAAACATATGAAATCCTAAAAATGCCTTTTTATTGCTTATACTACTACAGACAAGCTCACAAATTCAGGTATGCGCTCTTGAGTTGACACGCACAAAAATTACCTTCCTATCAAATTTTTGTATCGCAATTTCTTCATTCCTTGATAATGACCCTTCCACGGTTTTTTCAACTTTTGACATGGACAAGTTGGGGAAAATCCGTCAACACCACTAAAAAAAGCGCCTTAAAATTAGTAAACTTGCCAAATTTGAAAGGGATGCGTCTTAAGCGAACGAAGATACAGTTCCGCAAGGTTGCGAAAATTAACAAACGTTGTATGGTGGGGTGGGGGCAAGTTTGTGCCCCCCATCACACAAACGTCTGTAAATTTTCGTGACTTTGAGGAGCTATTAGATCCGAGTTTACCGCGAACCTCTAACCGAGGTTTGCGCGGTTACCCGTTTGCGGTTCGGCGTCAAACATAATTCGATTTAGATTGGCGGTGGATTCAATTACGGCCGCCATTTTGAATCAGCAGCCATGAATGGCACTTGTTTTCAAGATCAAATAGGATTTATCAAATTTAGCATTTCGCCCGAATTTGTGCCTCTGTTAATGGATAAAGACTTGCTACACAAGATTTTTGTATCATTACGTGGGATAAAACAAAAATTATACGCTAAAAGCTTTCAGGTAAATGACATACGTGAAAACCTACCTCCTCACGTTGAAAACGCACGTCGTAAACCTCAAACGTGACGCGAAAGACTTGTCACGTGACCTCCAGCGAGTAGAGGTTCGCGGTAAACTCGGATCTAAAACTCCCTATTCTGTGTTTTCACTCACGCTGCCAGCATCTATGCAAATTTATTGGAACAAAAGAAAGCGTTTACATAAGAAAAGAGTTCAACTCCCACAGGCCTGGTTTGGGACACAAACATGGCCGCCGTTTCATTGTTTTGGGACACAAATATGGCCGCTATGACGTCATGTGAAGACACACAATAGCCTGCGTTGACGCATTTCCGGTCGTCGCTTCTCTCCCTCCGAAAGATTTTCGGCGGGTGAAACTAGAGCTGAAAAAACCGGATGCTCTCGCAAGCTAGAGGAGTTATATCTTCGTTAGTTTTCTTCAAATTACTTTCAAACTTGGAAATTTTACTCATTTTAAGGCGCTCCTTTCAGTAGTGTCGACGAATTTTCCCGAACTTGTCCGGCATGTCAAAAGTTGAAAAAAAACGTGGAATGGTCTATTGTAGCCTATTGTAGACCAGAAAGTTAAAAAACTAACGTCAGAATCAGCCCCTGATTCAACTTGTGTTCCTTTGATATTCACGACAAAGTTGCGCTCAAACTATGGCGTCCACGGCTGCGCGTTCAAATTTAATGTATATTGATGTGCACTTTACAGACCCAATGACTCACGAATGCTGGTTGCCCTTGGAGAAAGTTACGAAAAGCTAGAAAGAATGCAGCAAGCCAAAAAAGTGAGTAGTGCACAGCGCGTCTATGATTTTGAAAATCAAGTCGAAATATTTATATTAACAGTTTCACAACTTTGGGCGATTAGCTTTAAATGTTCGTTTATTTCGGTCGAATTTCTTGACCTTCATTAGCGATTTCATCGCATTAAACTGACGGTTGAGATCATGTGACTTCATGGAGAATCAATATTGGCTGGAAGTTCAAACCCCTCGTCCCGATTCAGCGAAAGTTTCCCCTGTTTTAAGGCGGTTGCCGCCTTCACATGATGTTTTAGTAGTGACACGATCTTCATTGTTATAAAAACCTTATTCTGTGCGGGTTGAAAATTTACAGGTTGCCTAATAGGCCACTTCCGAGCTCCAAAAACCCTCACTTTCAAAATGAGGCTAGGTGCACAACCTTTCTTGTGAAAATGAGTTTTATTTGCATGAGTATGAAAAATCATTTCCAGATCAAAGGCTGAGCACCCACTCTCGTTTTGAAACAGAGGGCCGGGGGAACTCGGAAATGGCTTATTTGTTTTCCGACAGTTGATCACGTGATCAACTCATGCAAAGGGCCTATTCTAGCGCGGGACGTTCACCTGTGACAGTTCAAAAAGGCTCCAAATGAGGGCGCCAATCAAAAAGCGTGGCGATACAAAACTAGACTGGCAAAGTGATTGCGAAGTAACTTTCCTTATTTGACTGCAGTGACACCTCGCTCTAACTTAGTTTTTTTGTGTGTTCAGAATTTTCACTATGATCCTTTAAAGTTAGAAAAAAAAACTCTTTAGGATATATTTTCGGTTCACTATTGTGAATGCCATTTCAGTGCTATTTTAGAGCGATGTCAGTCGGCGATTTAGAGGGAATGGCTGTGATAAAATTAGCAAGGTAAGGAAAATAGGAACTTGATTTATTTTACTTATTTTTTCCTTCGATTGTGTGGTCCGAGGTCGTTTTTGAGACTCCTTCAGTTTGAGTTCTTTTCTCTGATTTTTCGGTTGTTTTCCTGTTGCTAGACTGCACGAAAAACTCCAAGAGGACGATGATGCAGCCGTCCATTACAACCGCTATGTAGAACAGACAGAAATTGTTGGGGTAAGAAAATATTTTTCCTTAAATCTTCACAGTTCGGAGTTCTAATCAACACGCGTGTTCCATCTCGCTTATTTTACGGCTTAGTGAATCCCTAGCGTACCCATTGCCCCTAGCCTGTGGCACAGGGGAAACTGGACTCAGGTTAAGTCCGTCTAACATTACTAAGGCCCAGATTAAATGTCGATCTTTTCATGTACTTAACCTAGTCCCATCAATTAAGTACATGGAAAGATCGACGTTTGAATCAGTTAAGTTCGACGTATCTAATTTGTGTCGACCCATGAACAGGCCACTTCCGAGTTCCAAACACCCTCACTTACAAAATGAGGCCAAGTGCACAACCTTTCTTTTGAAAATGAGTTTTATTACATAAGAATGAAAAATGATTTCCATATCAAAGGCTGAGCACCTACCCTCGTTTTCAAACAGAGGCCCGGGGAACTCGGAAATGGCCTATTAAGACCAAGTGACCCATATGGGAATTGAGCGACTTCGTTTCAAACGTCGAACTCCTCATGTGCCGAAGCTAATACATAAATTACTAAAATATATTTTCACTTGTAAGCATTGTAGACCATTGAATATCGTGAAAATGAATTAGGTCCGACTAATTAACTTCGACGTCTGCGTCAACCGTCGAACTTATATCGTTTGGGTCGACCTAGATAGGTATAAAGTTCCGTACATGAAAAGATCGACTGGTTTGCAGTGGGCCAAACTGGGGTTTAAACTACGTCTGTGAGGCTGGCTATTTGCCCCCGACGGGTATTTGTCAGGCTCTGAGTTCCCACGGTGTGGTACATTTTATGTAGGGTCTGCCAGATCAACTGAGGTTTCTAGGTAACTGACCACCTACCCCTCCCCTAAGTCAAGATTAACACCCACTTCTCACTTAGGGCAAAATGTTGACTTAGGGGAGGGGTAGGTGGCCAGTTACCCAGAAACCTCAATTGATCCGGTCTGCCCAGCGGGGGGGGGGGGGGGGGTTTTTCCCGTTTCCCCGGCCCAAAAGAAGAGGGAAAAACCAAACCGCAGGGGGGGGTGTGCGCGGGAAACCTTTGGAAAAAATTTAAAAAAATTTTAAAGGTTTAAAATTTTCGCACCTGTTGAGAATACACCCCAGACGTTTATAGTTCTTTGAAAGTAAACATTTTGGGGGGGGGGGGGGGGGGTATTTTCACGTTTCCGAAGCCAAAAGAGAAGAGTAATGACTAATCGACTAGGGAGTGATGGCTACGGAAACCTTTGGAAAAATTTGCAATGAATTTCAAGGTATTAAAATTGTCGCCGACTGTGAAGATTACCCCGAGAAGTTTCATCTTATTGAAAGTGTCACATTTTTATACGACACAGTTTATTGTAATCCCTGTGGTAGGATATTTGTACGAATCTGCTGGCCCCAATATCTGCTGGTATTCGCAGCTTCCCAAAAAAATTGCAATTGTCTACGTAGGGTGATGAGCAAACTTAGAATTCAGATGACAGCATGTTGTTGTTTGTTTAGCAGGTTATGTCCGTGGCTGAACTCTGTTCTGCTTATCTTTTCCTGTCGAGATATAACCTGAAGAAAAGAAATCTTGAAGCTGCCGAAATGTACGCTCACAAATGCTGTGAATTTAACGAAGTAAGTCGTTTACATACATTTATTTAGATCTTCAATTTGCTGACCTGATCGCACACGTCGTAGACTACCAGTACTTAGTCCCCCACTCCCCAGGGATAGTAGAGCGCGCGAAATACGCGAACTCGCGTGAAAATTATCGCGCGCGAAGAGAGGTAGGACGCAGAGAAAGGAGAGAAAATTTTCTCCCCTCCCTCCTCCGCGTCCCAGTTATACCCGCGAGCGGCAATATATTCGCGCGCTCGTGTATTTCGTGCACCCTACTATCCCTGTGCTCGAAGAGTTTGTTTTCAGTTTACATGATACCCATAATGACATTTTGTACCAGGACGAGAATTTCAGTCGGAATGAAAACCGGAATGACTGACTTGAGCTGTAACCAAATTTCGCCTCGGTATCATGTGAACAGATGCAATGAAATGTATGGAGATGGAATGAACTCGTTCCGGAATGAAATTCGTTCCGGTATCATGTAAATAGCTCCAAAGAAATGTTACGATGTAGTGCTCGAATCCTAATTATTCCCACAATCTTTATTTCCAGGGTAGAGAAGAGGGAAAAGGCCTCCTCCGGCAGATTTCTAACAGCAGATCTAGTGGCGGCGACGGTGACAGAGAGAGCTGTGATGCTTTTACACAAGAGTTATCCCTTGTAGGAAATATCACCGCTGATCATGAATTAGCGCCTACAAATCTGGACTTCAATACGCCTTGATCCTCCAGTGCGAACTACAGTCGCTTTGGTTATATCGCCCCTTGTAAGGGAGTCCAAGACAGTCTCGGAATCTGGATTCCACGCCTTGGATTCCAGATTCCAGGTACTATTACCTGGTACCATTACATTGTCAATGGAACTTGGTGTCTGGACTCCAACCGTTGGTGGGATTCCGGATTCCAGAAGCAAAAAGTTCCTGGATTCAGGAATCCTGATTTCCTCACATGGGGCGACTTGTAATTGCCTTTACTTGAAGGAGGTTCGCGCAAAGTTAGGAATTTTTCCGCAAAAGGACGTCGCTCATTCCTCTTTGCATTTGACACTCATTCAAATGCAGCTGAAGTTGGCCTTACAATTGTTCACCCTGGAAACGATAATACTTGATGCTACAGTACCCACAGGACGGCCGAGCTTACACAACTAGATCCTATAATAATTTGTGAGAAAATCCGCTGTAGATGGCATGGATTTGTGTCCCCCAAAAAACACTGGCGCAAAGGATTCCCGAAAGAGAAAAATTCTATGAACCTGCATGGGAGAACTCTTAGAAAAGGCGTGTGTATGAAACTGCATGGAAGAATCCAATCACGTGCTGAGGAATTCAGAGGTTCCAGGCACATTCACGAAAAATTCTTCCCTACATCAGTAGACGGATGATTCAAATTACTTCACTGAGATATTGCGAATTTTCGTTATTACCGACCTCTCTGTATTTTATACCTTTATAGCACGGGTAGAATTTCTTCAGTTTATGGATAGTACTTGTGAATCCCTTTCGTCTGTGTTTCTTGTCAATAAAAAGAAAACTATATGCAAAGAAGACCGTCGTTGCGAAAGGCGCCACTTATCGCAGTGCTAGGCATATATTCATTATATATTCATTATTTCAGAAAGAAAACTGATCGTAAAAGATATAATTCTCTATTTCTCCTGCCTTTTACCCTGATGAATTTAAATAACAGACCGATATCTGCTTTATTTCCAGGGCTGGGTTACCCAGGGTTAGTGCGAACTTTGAATTCAGGTATGAAAGTTTAAAAAGCTAATTCAATTTAATTCTTTTTGTCTACAATTCTGTAATTGGGTGCGTTAAAAAGAATAGAGGAAATCATCCAAGAAAAGGCTTCTGAACTAAAGAAATAGAAACCTGTATTAAAATTTAACATCAGGTTAGCGCTAATCAAGTTGCGAACAGCTGGGTCCAGGCGTCCCTCTCTCGATGAAAATTTGCGCGCAAAGAAAGGCGGGAAGGAGAAAACGGGCGAAGCGGCGCTTCATCTCCAGTCACTCACGTTTCGCGTTTGCCTCTGTGAGAAAAAAAAGTTGAAGTGCCTGAGGAGGAGGCGGGAGCAATATCATAATGTTACCCAGTTAAATGTAATATAGTCGAACCGAAAAGTGCATGTGTGACCACCTAAACAACAAAATTTCGTAAGCGACCGCGATCATTTCTTTTTCCATTGTTATTAATTTCTTGCAACCGACCTCTTTATACATGGTCTGATCTTTATTTTCCTTGTTTGAATTATGCTACCCTGAGAGTACGAAGAACTTGATGCAACTACACATATCATAAATGACCTGGGAAAAAAGACTCTCTTGCCCTGTGGTTCGATTCTTGTAAACGACCACTTAGAATCTTCGCATGTTTAATACGAGAGCCAAGAAGTTCCACTTCGACTGTATAAAAACCTTTAAAGCAGAATTGGAGCCCACTCAAACGGACCTGACTTTGGATTTAAAATAAAATGTCGTACTACTAGTTTTCGATTTGCGAAGTCTTAGTTGTATTTGTTATTTTTATCTTCAATCAAATTTGCGCAGCAACAGATAAGCAAGGGCAGGAATAAAACCATACAGCGAAGTGTGCGAAATTCCCGGGAAGTGACGAACGGCCATCGAGCCCCACATGCTGATGTTCCTCTCGTGAACAACGTAGCCCGCGTAGCATGGGGCTTTTGTCGGGAGCACCACTGTTTAACTGTTTATCAATTATGGCAAATTTTACAGAAAGCAATATCCACTGCCCGCAGTTATTAGCTAGTCGAGGCGAGCAGTGGTTACACGTATGTAATACACGTATATATATAAATAGATCACAAGAAAGACTAGAGAAAAAGAGTAAAAAATGTTAACTAAATAAACAAATAAATAAAAATAAATCACAATCACTGTACATTGCAAATATAAGAAGCCGAGGTTTCAGGAAATTATTTTCGGAGTAAAGTGTCTTGGACATTGAACCGCCTTCCCGGATTCGGGGCCTTTTCAACGCGCGGCCACAGCTACAGGAGCTGAGGCGATTACTTGGCTCCTGACTGCGACTACCACCCCTTCAACTCATTTTGACATCCCGTTGACAACTTGTTTGGTTTCAGTTTTCCCAGCCAATCAGAAATAAAGTGTGTTCATTCTGAACCAATCGAAACGATCCGTACGCTGGCGTACGGACCGACTCAAAAAAGCCCCCCGTCCTTGCGGGCGGTTTTTCAAGTTGCTCCCGCCCCAATCTCCTCTAGGTTTCTCTGCCCTCGTTCGCCTTTATTCTTTATCATTTAGGGCGCCCAACCAAAACCGTCATTCTACGCAGGCTATCGTGTGATCGCCTGCGCCATTATCTTTTGTTACCGACTTTTTTACTTCATAAATAACTAGTATATAGAGGCCAAATCTTGCCGTTTATCCTTTTGTTTTTCTCTTCTGTTCAATTTTGTTTATTTCTCGTCGCCCGGGCGCCAACGCAGCTGTTGTTTCGTCACGTAACGCTCAGTTGAGAGGAGGACTGTTATGCAGGGACTACGTGACGTTATAACTTTGGATCAATATATAAAGGAGAACTGAACATAATGCGAAAATTTCTTAAAAGACACAGTTGACTTAGGGCACAATCTCTGGGAGACAATGGTGAATCTGGTTGCCTCTCTTGCCCGTCATAAGATTGGGTGCGTGCGTGCGTGCGAATGTATGTTAAATATGGAAATTTGCATTCTATTCCTTGCATTGCGTGACCGACCTGTCAAACTAAACTGGAGTTCCAAGAAAAACCGGTTTTAGTGGTTTCCACTGACATCTGACCGAAGTGCAAGTGCATGCTGTCGCTGTATTGTGGTGTCTGGTCTTCATTCTTCCTTTATTTTCGACCTTATTTTCGGCATGGTGGATAAATCGACGCAAGACGAAAAGAAAGACACTCCAGCTGAAGAAGTTGTTCCTTCAAGCGAGTCTACGGAGTCTGATGTTGTTGATAATGCGAAGGACGAAGAAGTATTAACGGAGACAACAGAGCCCCAAGCGACATCAGACGAGAAATCACACGACAGCGACAAAGAAGCTCAAGAGGAGACAAAAGATCCAAAGGCAGACGTCGAAGAACCAGTGAAAAAATCCCGAGGCAGGCCTAAACAGAGTGAAGGCACGGAACCAGTTAAGAAGAAACCTAAGAAAGAGATCGAGAAACCATCACCGACTCGGAAAAGTGCTCGCGTGAGGAATCAAAAGACTGGTGCTAAACACGAGAACAAGGAAAAACTTCCTGAGCGGAAAAGATCGCTGACGAAAAAGGTTACAAAGGACAAAGGACAGCAGAATGGCGAAGCAGTGGAGGCTTGAGCTGATATCAGTCAAGTTGCTTTTGTTGTGCCGATTTCTAAAGTTTTTAGGAAAAGAAAAGTTGAGTGTTTTTTTAATCGTTATTGCCCAAATCTCATTCCTAACCCCCACCCCGAAAGAACTAATTTCGACCATTTGTGTTCGCGTCAACCCTTCCCTTTGGACAATTGGACAAGGGAGAAACTATTTTTCCATTTATAACGACTTTCGTTCGCAAAACAGACGTATTTTGTTCTCTATCCATTTCGCTCAGACTAAATATTAGGAAGAAATAACAAGCTGTGTTGACTGCCCTCGTATGCACGTAACTCCATCCCTGTATCGATGTTTTGGTTTGGCGGGTTTTAAATTTACCGACTTAATAGCAGTCTTGAAACATAGGAGAAAATTTCTTACATGAAACATTTTTCTGCTTCCAGACCGCTAACTCATTGATCAAACCATGAAGGACTGGTCTTTAAGGCCTGTTTTAAACATTGAAATTCACATTATGTGACAATCAGCGAGAACAATTTCCATCATTAACATTTGATTGAGCGTGAGGTTAGACGTTTAAAACAGGTCTAATTTAAAAAATAAGACACAGTTCACAAAACTTACAAATGATGTATTTTAGACATTATCTGTACGGGTACTGGAGGTAGCCAAAACCCCTGCCCGTTATTTGGGGGGGAGGGGCAACTGCACCCTAATACACCATATAAACATCTTCATTTTGTTTTCTTATATATATTTCATATCGCTCAACTTATCATACAATAACCAAGCTACATAACCATGTTGAATACGTTATGTACATGTTTGCTATACACTATATACAGATTTTACATTTCATAAAATACATGCTGTGTAATATTGGAATTGTGAGTAAATTAAGCAAGATTTTTTCATAATTATTTTATTACATTAAGCAAGATGGAACCAGTAGTTATGTCATTGTGCAACTTTTGAGATGTTTCCAAGACATTTGTAATAAACTCTACAACAATTTCCTATAAAAAGTGGCTTCAGTTTGAGAGAAATAATTGACAAGTTTAACCTGCTTTCTATAAATAATGAATAAAATATAAACTGGGAACTGATCAGTTTAGAGACAATTATTGCCTTTTCACCTCTACGAAGACAATACAAGTTTTGTACAGCCTCTGGCTGTCAAAAGACAGCCACTTTAGCATAGAATTAGTCCACATATTTTTTATCAAAATAATAGCATTATAAATTATTTAGTGTATAGCAGTAGTTTTTCTATGGGTGGGGGGTCTTTAGGTGGGGTGGGCGGAAGTGGTCGACTGTTGTTGAGTCTTTTCTCGTGTACTGGCATATTGGGTATTGGATCCAGTTTGGAGGAACTCATAACAAGTGAGGTGGCATGTCGAATTCCATCTTTTCCAGGTTTAGTCTTTGCTTGAAGAGGGTTTATGACTCCAATATTTGGAGCTGCTTTGAACACCTTGTTGAAATTTGTTTCTCTGTTGAGTAGCTCCATTTGAAAATACCTCTTTTCATCCTGGAAGAAAATGATGAAAGAGCTGAATATTTTTAAATAACAAAGTGCTGTCTAAAACAACATCCAAAGTTTGGTTGTAAAATATAACCTCCAGTCTGACAGTAAGAACAAATACAGGGGTAATTACCATAACAACTTATTATTTATTTATTTGTTTGCAAGTACATAGACACTTAGCAACCAGAACCTCAGCTCCATAAATCAAAGAAATGATGGAAGTTATAGAAGTTGTTGAATGCAGCCATAAGAAAAGACGATCAGGGAGGGGCTGAAGCACATGAGAGAGGTGGGGGGGGGAGGTTACCACCAACTGGCAAACATCAGCTATACAGGTAACGGGTAGGTGGATACAGAATGGACTTTCAAGAAGTTCAGTCTGGGATAACATACAGAATTAGGCAGGTCTTAGTCTGAAACAGAATACTGTTATGGAAAATTTATCAGTGGTGTGAAAAAGTAGAGTTTCTGGTATCTAGTTGGTTGAGGATGGGCTAGAATGACATTAAAGATGGTCAATTGGCCTGCTAAAGGCTAAGGTTCCAGGGTTCAAGCAACAGACACTGTGCCCCGGCCAACCAAAATTTCAAAGAGTACTCCTAGGAACTGTTGCAGCCTTATGGTGGGGACATCTACATTACAGCTTGCACCCGAATTTTAGGCCATTTGACACCACTTCAACATGGACAAAGGATGTACCAAAAACTGTGACATAGAGCACACACCCTCCTGTCCTACGTAACAAGACCACAGAAACTTCCCTATTATTTATTTTGTTTGAGAAGGGCTCGAAAAGAGTCCCATCCGCAGGATAAATAGATTTTCTTGAGTGGGCAAGTAACTTTTAAAGCTTGCATTGTACTGGCCCAATGGGCATAGCAAGTGCCTCTATAAACAAGACGAGCAGCAAGCAAAATGTGAAAGCTGCTTTCCCAAAGGATTAGCTGGAATTCAATTTTTTTTTCCGAGTCCTGTTGAGAGAAATCATTTTACGAGAGTACTCACCACAAGTTTTTTCATATCAAGTTCCCTTTCTGCCAGCACTCTCTTTAGCTGTTCAATGACTTCCAAGTCCTCAGGGCGTGACTGTCTGCTTCTGTATTTCTCTTCAGCCTCCTCCAGCCTGTTTGAAAAAAAAAACAAGATCATACGTTAGAAAACAATCTTACGATGAAAACCTCTACACCAATGTTCCAGAGTTAACATATTTTTCTTCCTCTTTTAAGTCAGTTTGACGTAAAATGGTAGAGTCATTCTTCAAAATGTGGGGTCACCTTGTTTTATTACTTAATGAAGTACCTGACAAGCATTCGTAGGAGAACCACTGAGTGAAAGAAGTTTACACTCAAAATATAGACTACAGATCCTTGCTGAACCAAAGAAAACAACCTACAGCAATTGGCAAATAATATGTTTTGCTGCAAAACTGCCGAACAATGTCTTTTAGTGATGTTTATTATTTTTGGCTAGCAGAAATCAAATTCCAATGAACAGTATTTTCAGCTCTACACTGGGATGAAAATGTTCCCGCCATGCACAAATTCTCTGGAGTAACCGACATATTTTGGTGTAAAGTACACCATGCTTGGCATATGTTATTTATATAAACCTTACATATCTTATCATAATAATATTTATAGATTCAAAATTGAAAATGGTAGAGACACAAAGTTCTTTGTAGACCGTTATATTCACTTACATTAGCTGTAACGCAGATATCTTGTCACTAAGGAGTTCTTTAGACCTATTAAACTCTGTAAGCAAAGCCTGAGTCTCACGTAGATGATCTGCAACCGTGGAGTCTACCTCCTTCTGATGTGCTCTGGCCAGATCTTCTTCCCGCTTCCTGTTCAGTAAGTGAAAATGGTTTAAACAGACCATGGGTATAATTATTAAGAGGCAAGTGGATTAAGCCCTAAGCTTTGACCTTTGGTGATATGTCAAATTCCTCCTTAGCCTCACAAGCAGATACAAGACAATATGGAAAATTAAGGGAATCTTGTAGTTTATCACAAGCAACTTAAGGCTTTTTTCAGGCATCTTTCAAACAGTAGGCAGAAAATGATATCTACTAGTAGCTAGTTGAATACAAAATTATTTTGATCCGTAGTAACACTGACTTTATTAACAATCATGGCCAAACAGTTAAGAGTCTCTGTACCCTCTAATGAAGGAATCTGCCAAAAGTCAGTGATGGACTAACACCTCAATTAAACAGTTGCCAACTCTCCTTTTTTGCACAGCCGCCATTTGGCAACCAACTCTTTTGGTTAGGGAGACTTTTTTACAAATCAAGTCACCAGCTCCAAAATGTTAGGCGCCATGGTGACCAAACTGGTTGCAACTTGGAGGGTTGGTTGCATATTTAATTAACTGATTTTTACCTGATTTGTGAGTTAGCCTCTCGTCTGACACTGAGAATCTCTTGTCCTTTAGCCTGTAATTCATGCTGTAGCTCCTCCACATTTCCTCTTACATGACTAATCTCCTCATCAAGTTCATTAATTTGATATTGCCTCTGTTCTATTTCCTGTTTTAATTCCTCTATTTGGTTCTGATGTTTAGATTCCTGTCAACATAAAATGATTGGAAGGACTAAGTTATTGCTTTGGGGGCTGAAAAAGGAAGAGAGGAGTGAAAATCAATCACTAGAATAAGTCTTTTTCTACTGGTAATTACTGACACAATGGTTATCACTGAAAAATCATTCAGCAATCATGCAAACAACATTTAATCGGCAATCAGAGTGATCATTAAAATCATTATTTCTGAGACAGACTTAAGCTCTTTATTAAAGGCTGGTTAATTCTATACCACTGCAAGTGTATTGCTGCTGCTAGCCCTTTTGAGCAATAACTAGTAGCACTGGCAGCAGTCTTTGAGAAATCAGCCATTAACAGTTAACCTAAGATGGACATAATTTTTCAACCCCCTTTTCATTGTCTGGATATTAGAAACACTTACTGCTTGTGTTCAATACATGCATGTTAACACAATAACAAAAACAGGATACAAGGCAGGATCAAAAGGAATAATATTACAATGTGGAATTTGGAAAAAAAAGTCCATAGTAAGCTCAGGGTGCAGGGGTGGGGGTTGGGGGAATGGTACTTAACTTTATATATTAATAGTAAATGAGGCAATTTGTTATACTCAAAAAGACATTGTTGGGCAAAAACCAGACCTCAAAAAAGTCCAGTGTTTTGAACCAACCCTGGCACTGCTTGAAAAAGTGGAATTCTAGTACACTACATGTACATTTTAATACACAATGCTTACATTTCGTGAGTGCAGTTCATTGGTTCTCTGTAGCTGCAGTTTCACAGATGCCAGCTGAATCTCAAAATCTCTGTGTAATCTTTGCATTTCTTCCTGTTGTACTCTTAACAATTCACTTCTCATATTTTCTGAAATAAAAAGCAAGAATTGAAGAAAAAAATAGCATTGAAAAAGCTCATCAACAATTAGATAAGTATAGCATAACAATTTACTGTAACTTAAGAAAACAACCTGGCAGTATTTATACATCACAAAGTACCCTTCATGCTTCAATTGTTACATCAAGGTTTGACTGAACTGTTATTAAACATAAACCAATTTTTGACTATTATCAACAAACCTTGATCATTTTCATGTTCAATTTTCAACTCCTCAATGTCCTTCAATCTTTTCTGTTCAGCTTGAGACTTAATTGCCTCTATTGTGAGTTTATTTGCCTGAAGCTGTGAGGTGATTTCTTCTCTGTGAATCTTTTGAAGCCTCTCATCACATTCCTGTAATAAAACATATATAAGACATACACTTACAACAATTACCGATAATTAAATACCACATTGGAGGCATCTTTGTAAATCCTTGAAATTCAGCAGTTCCTAATCAAATGCTAGCTGTTACTTGCTGGCCCACTGACAAAAGTCTGGTAGAAAAATCCTTTCAACTTTTTTTTGCCATTTTTTTTTTATAAAGAACTACCTTAATTTCTTCATCTTTTAATGCTTCAAGTTTCCTCAACTCTGCATTGTGTTGTTCAATCAGTTCTTCAAGACGCTTGCTATGTTGAAGAGACAGGGCAGCTAGTTCCTCTTCCTTATACTGCCGCTGCAAATCAAGTTCTCTGCGTAGATCAAGCTCTGTTGTTGTTGCATGCCGATTGGCCTTTTCCACATCACTTCGAGCTTCAGAGATCTACAAGACAGGAGGCAGAAGGGATTTAAAAATCACATTGTAAATATTTCATCTGCCCATGCAGAGTGCCAATGACAAATTTAGCAAAAGGACAGATAATCTAGACAAGGGAAACTTTCTATATAAAATTTATTACCACCTAAACAGTGAAAGCTTGACTGAAGTATGTGTTCAACAAAGAGTGAGCAAAGTCAGCAATGACAGTTCAGACATTACATTGAAATACTAGGACACCCTATCGTAACAATAATATTGTAAGTAACAACTATCATTACCCCTGAGGGCTAAATTCCTTCCCATGTGTAAAATATAAATGGACTGTTTTGAGCAGAATGTATTTCACTTATTAAAACTTATGATACACAAAGACCACCACATTAAATTTGCGAAGATAAAGTAAACCACACAAATACAAGTCACTTTTTCACAGGTCAGAGTACAGGTCACCATGATACAGATAAAAAATCTCTTAACAAAATGCTGATGTATTAGATCGAGGGGAATCTGTGTGGTTTAGTTATCTATCAATGATCTTGCAGTATTGCTACTACATCACTAAAAAATAATACAACAGTAACTTTCATCAAGCCCCAGGGCCTGCAACCTGTTTAAAACAATAATTTATTTGTTTACGTTAAGATTACTTTAAGCTACGTGCTCATAAAATGTAAAAAGGATGTGTATCAGCCCCCAGAATAAATGTCTACATTCTCTGTAGTCTTCACAGCAAAGCATAACAAAGTCACTAAACCAAAACAATAAATATTAGTAATTATTAAGTAGGTGTCCTAAAATATAATTTACTAACAAGCTTCTTGGAGAGCTGTAGGACACCTTTTTTAACAAGTGTGAGATGTTTGACCTGAATATTAAAATAATAAAGAACCACTATCAATCAATTAACTTATTTTCTGAAAATTAAATTTACTCTTTGTGTAGTTGCACCCAAATACAATGTTTATTACCCTGTGTAAAGCAAAGAGATGTTATTGCATGTAATACAACATTCAGGAAATCCCTAAATAAATTTTGTTGTCAATGATAGGCTTTATAAGTTTAGGGAGGTGTCAAAATTAACAGTTTTATTATACTCTGTCACCAAGTCAATGCCCTATCTTCAGGTCCAAAGAGAACTGAGTTCTTTCCGGAGAGACTCTCTGTATTTCTTAACATATAAGACTAGAATTTTTCAAAATAATTATTTACAAACTAAACAGGATAAGATAATAAATTTAATTCCACTTACTGTCTTTCTCAAAGCATCTATCTTGCTCTGCAGCTCTGCCCTCAGTTCATCTCTTTGAATGTCTTTCACTTTTGTTAACTCCTCTAAAGATACTCGATTCTCTTCTCTGTGTTGCTCATTCAGTTGAGAGCGAAGTTTACCACATTCCTCACTGAAATACATTTAACCATTAATGAAAATGATAATGTCAGTTCATGAGGATTCCCTAAGAAATAATTTTTGCACTGATTCAAACACCCTGTTTCACCTATGTGGAAGCATATAACAAGAGTTCAGCATCGTAAATTTATACTACTATAATGCCTCAGACAAGTCATTTACATGTACTATCCAATCAACCAGCGATTTACCTGCCTATATAGTATGATGTATAATTATAACTACATGAAAACAACGCTTAACTGTGTAAACATTTATCAGATCTTTCTTATATTTGTATTTGTTGCAAAAATCCTTTCTTAGCTTCGACCACAGACCCCTTGTCTCCTGTGAATACTTATAAGGCTTGGAAACAAGGGGAATTCTGAATCAAACTACAATCGGCGACAAAATTGTTGAGACATTGTACTCATATTTCATTTTCTGTCCTTTTCACTTTGTTCCTTATTTCAATTAAGGAAAGAATAAGAAATTGTGTGCGACACGCCACAACCCACGATGTCAAGGCATGTGAAGCGTGACACGAAACGTCACACACTGAAAATAACAAAATTGCCATATTCTAATTGTTCTAAAATAAGCATGATGACATTAATCATAACAAAATTATAAAAAGCTACCAAGGTGTCCTATATCCCAGTGGGAAGAAATGAGTTTAATTAGTTTTCTTTAGAATGTATGGCCACTTTTGCCATTCAAACAATTGGCGAAAAAATTGGTAAGATACTACACTCAAAAAGAACAAAAAAATCCACCTCCCCCCCACCCTCCCCTCCATTTAACGTTGGGGTGTTTGTTGTTTTCTATAGGTAGCTCAAACAGCGACACAATGGAGGGGATGGGGGAGGAAAAGCAATATTTTTCCCTTTTGAAGTCAGTAAAATGTCAGAAAGCCCCTTTAGGGCAAAGTGCCTCAACTGATTTTGTCGCCAATTGTAGGTTGAACACTGCTTTCACTTATAACATAAATACCACCTTGTTTTCTCTGTTTTTATTAACAATGATGTTTCTTCACCTTAATCTCTCGCTCCACTTAGTGTTCAACTCATTTGTTAATGTCTCCAGGCGAGCATTCAAGTCTATTTCCCCATCCTTCATTGCTTTGCTATGCAATGCCTGAAGTTTGTAAATTTCATCCTACACAACAAACAATAATTATTACAGTATGAGTAAGTTTATCTAAACCTGGATCTGTCACTTTTACATAATTATAGGCCTAGTTCAATGAACAGAATTAAGCCCATATCATTAAATATAATTTATATAAGATGCAGTGACTGCACTCAGGAACAAGCTTTTTAACTCAACAGTTTACACATGTAGACTCCTCCCTGACATATAAAACAAACAAGTATTCACTGGCAAACACTGCAATTGATGAGTTTGGGAGTGAAGAGCTGTGTAACAACCAGATGCAATAATTTAAAATACTACAGCTATTTTGTTACTAATGTTGACAGATTTCAAAGCAGGATCAAGTCCACTGGCACTAATTGCAAGCACAAGATAAAATGGGCGTCATCATAAAGAATGGTCTTAGTGCAGAGATGTTAGCTCAAAAAGAAAGAGACAGCTAAGAAATCACAAGAAAACACTTGCATGTCACAACCAGATGCATTAAAACTTCCAAACACAAAACTAGGCCTGCTGCGATGGAAATCTTTACCAACTCCGTTTCCTTACCAATGAATTTGTGTATTTGCTCTCCGCTTCCTTCAGATCATTCTTAGTTTTTTGTAACTCTTCTTTCGCCTGACTAAGAGCCTCTTTCAGGCTGTCAATATGTGATGATGCAGAACCAAGTCCTTGTTCACTATCATGCACTAGTTTTTCTAATCTCTCTACTTCTTCTTCAGAAGAGTTAAGCTTATTTTTCAAATCATTGCAGTGGTTCTCAAACTGTGCAATGACTTCATTTTTCTCTCCTCGCAATCTCTCCAGTTCTTGTTCAGACTTTTCTATCAAGTCTCTCTCCTGTGCTGCCAGTTTCTGTTGAAATTCTTCCTGCAAAGTCTTGATGTGAGAATTGTGTTCATGATCCAGTCTTGTGGTTGATTTGTGTAATTCCTTGTCATGATCTCTTTTTAACCTTGCCGTAACTTCTTCCAGTTCTTTTCGTAGTGAAGTTTCCTTGCTTGTAGACTGTTCACTCGCCCTTTTTAACTCCATGTTATATTTGGCCGCCAAGTCGGCTTTTTCCCTTGAAAGTTTCTCAATTTCCTGTCAGGAAAAGAAAAGTGTCATTAAGTGATTTGAAAACAGGGAAGCATGGAAGGAATGCAACCAAGATCAAGCAAGATTAATTTATTTAATCGATGATTATGGTGACGGCATTAAGAACACTTACAGCCAAATTAACTCTTTCACTCCCAAAAATTTTCAACATAAAATAGTCTGAATAAAAAAATTTACCTTATTCTTCTACAACCTCTCACAGTGTAAATTTTTCGAAAAGCAGGTATGTTGCCCATCCCCTTCTCAATACTAATCTTTTAATAATGAGATTCCTCCTTTACAATCCACATACAAAAGATTATAGATCTTTTGACTTTACTCCCAACTACTTCTGTGAGTCTCTTCACTAGTTCCTCACTAACCTGCTGAAGTCGTTTAAGCTCGGAATCAGCTTGTATGGTATGTGAACTATGCATTTTCTCCAAATCATCATGTTCCTTCTCCAGTGTGTTTAGCTTGCTCTGAAGACTGCTAATATTTGCTTTCAAATCTTTTATTATTGTCTCCTGTGACAACTTGCTTGCATCAAGCTTGCTGATTTGCACTGAAAATAATTTTAGTTTGTCAGCAAAATGATATGTGCACCAAAGTAAATAGATTTGTGAATACCAGTAAAAGTGGGCTCAAAGCTATAAGTCACACTAGCTTGTTGATGCCTCTGTTCTGTACCAGGAAGTAATGAATATACAGGTAGTATTTTTTTTTTTAAGGAATTTTCAAGGACCACATTCAATTTTCAAGGACCACCTACCGGGAATGTAATGTCACAGATTGTACAAAAATGCATCTTCCCAGTCCATTCTAACATGACTTTGAGGTTTGAATTATTTCGTCCACCAACTTCCTTACATTTTTCAGTTCACTTGTCTTAAATTGTAGTTAATTATTGCATAAAACAAAAGACACTTTGTGTAAATCACCTTTAACTTCTCTGAGCTATGATTTATACTCTGTCTTAGACGACCATAAGGCATTAAAAAACACTTGCCAGGTTACTGCATTCAAAGTTGAAGAAAATTAAATGACTTTTCAAGGACTTCCCTAAAATTCAAGGACTTTTCAAGCCTGTGTGGGCCCTGTTTCAGTTGTAGTCTAATAAACAAGTAGGCAGAAATACATTTGAATTCCACGACTGCACTTGCATTAGGGGTAGGCATGGCAGGAGGGAGCCTCTTCTTTTCATTAGAAGATTCTGGCTCTATCCCAGAAACATATTATATTTTTTCTATATAATATTATTTTCTTTTACTTTTTTTCTTATTATTCATTTATTTATTCACTTTATTTTCAATTTTCTTTGAGGGGGGGATCTGAAAAGGGCATTTCTCTTAAAGTAATCAAGGAGAGAAGTTTAGTCTTGAGGATGGCAGTTATTTACCCACAATTTGCATTAATTTACTGTGAGAAACACATTTTCTGTGGGTAGACAGTGCCACATTGATATTTGCTGGGCACCTGAGCTCCTTGGGACCCTGCTAAAGGTCCCTTCAGACTGATCCTATTTTGCAAAAATATGAATAACAAAATATTATTATCATTTATGCCTGATAGTGATGATAGTCTTTGATCTGACAAGACAATAACAAATCACTAATGTTACTTTTACATTTTTTGAGGTTACTTCATCTATTATTATTCAGACCTTGTGGTCAAGTTAGAGTGAGTGTCACAGTTGGTGATTGGTTAAGTTTTTTGTGATAAGGGTTAGGTGAGGTGAGGTGCGTTTGAGATCAAGTTTGTGACCTGTGAAAATGTGCATGAAATGAATGAACTCACAGTTAGCTGCTTTTAGCCCAGCGATGGCAATTTCTATAGAAGCTGATTTGAAAACATCTGTATCATGAAAATAGAATAATAACTTAATTTATGAACACTCGAACAAAGAGACATATCACTTCTGTTCAGATGTTCTTCCCTACAAGCTGATTCTGAAAACAATTCTACCCCTCTCTGCACTTGATTCTCTTCTTCTTGCACCACCTGCCATTAATAATCAGTTATATTTGATTGCAATAGTTGCTGTTCACAAACACTGCTTTTATGATTCCAATGTGTTAACTACCAGAACAAAAGATCCCTTTATTTCAATAGCACATGCACCCCAGTAAGGCATAGTTAGTATAAACATGGTGACATAATGTGAATCCTCACTATTATTTTTAGTTTTTCAATTTGAAAAAAAAATAACAAGACCATGAATGAAAAAAGGCTGAAATACAAACATCCAGTAAAATGTTGCATAGTGGGGGTATGCAAAACAGTTAAATTTTTTAGATTTATTTTTATCGTGTAATTGAGTATTATTTGAGATGCTCTCTGGGTAACATGGACAAGTACACTTGAAAACTAAGAAAACTACTTCTGCCTTAAAAAGAAGCTTTCCCACGAAGTTGTCTTCATATAAATCATTCTACTGTACTGTACTGTAGTACAGTTCAAGCATGTTTACACTTTTAAGCTACAAAACAGTTAAACTTACTTGATTGTCGGGCGATTTCTGCTTCCTGCTCCTCAGAGCGTTTCTTTGATACAGTTAAATCATTTTCTGTATCTCTCAAACTCTGCAAAGCTTTTGCGACTTCTTTCCTGGATTCCTCAAGTTGTTTTGCTAAAACAGTAGAGTCACCTTCTTTGCCATGAAGTTTCGACTCTAACTCATTTAGTTGTACTTTTAAAATTGACATTTGTTGTTCTCCATCACTAAGTTGATTCAACAATTCAGAGATTCTGTCCTTTAGAATCCTTTCCTGCCTACTCCACTCGGACCTAAGCACTTTTTCTCGAACTTCCCACTCTTTCAGCTGAGTCTCTTTCGAAGATTCCTGTAGTGCTCTCGAAGCAGCAAGCTCTTTTTCGTAAAATGCCTTTAGTTTTTCCACTTTTTCTTGGTATTCCAATTCTATTTTCCGCTTTTCCTCCGCAGCAACGTCGCCAGAAGATTGCAATGTAGAAAGTTTTTGTTCAAACTGTTTTTGAAGTTTTTCTTTTTCCTTCACGAGCTCATCATACCGTACGCGATGAGCCTTCATCAGTTGATCCATTTCATCGTGGTGTTTGCTTGACAATTCCTCCACAGCCTTATCTCTATCCTCTTCCAGTTTTCTCCTAGTAGCCTGGAAATCTTTCATCCGTTCTTCAAACTGCTTTTTTGCCGCAAGCAATTCCTTTGACATAGTCAAAATTTTTTCTGAAAACTCTGACTTTAGTCTCGCCTCATGATCTTCGTTTCTCCGTTTGAACTTTTCAAATTCTGACATAGCTTCCTCTCTTTGAAGTCGTTCCTTGGCTAAATGCGACTCCAAAACGTCGATCTTCTGCTTTTGTTCAGTAACAGCGCCTAACCTTGTCTTAAAGTAGTTCATCTTTTCTTTCGTCTCTGCTATCAGTTTTTGCATTTCTTCTTCATGTGCTACTTTCATGTTTTCCACAACATTCTCATGTTCATCGTTTTTTGTGTTCAGAGCGTAAATAACCTTGGTAAGCTGTGCGATTTTTTTCGACATCTTAAGATGTAAGTCAGGAGTAACGTCTGCACTCGTACTGCTCCCATGGCTGGCCACGTATGTGCCGTTTCGATGCGGCATACTGTGGAAACTTGAAGCCGTCTTGCTCGCCGCCATTTTGTTATTTGACTTCTGCCCACCTCTGTGTGTTCTTCGATTCAAAGCGGTTGTCATAACTACCACCATGGCTAAGTTTTTCATCAAGTCCAAATATGGTAAATAGACCAGTCGCCATATTGGATTGAGCAAGGTAAACATTTCTGCAGAATTTTTATCATTTTGGGCAGAAAAGTTGTGTTGGATCTGGACGTGACTGTATAAAACAAGTAGCCGAACAATATTATGTTTAACGATGAATCACAAGAAGCTGTAGAATTTCTTTCTTCTTGGAAAACTGAAAGGTAAGGTTCATTAATTTGCCGGGATATTAAGGTAGTAAGGTTTTTGATCGGTTATCATTCCAAGATCTCCCGTCCACCAAAGTACCAAAAGTTTTTTTTTTCTACAGCAAAAGAGCACTAGTGCTCTAATCACAACTTGGCACAATGTTGCTGACCCTTCGTAGGGTCCAACTCTGCATATGTAAGTTTAATTTAAAACCAAGGATACATGACAGTGCCCTAACCGTGGGGATGGGGGGAAGTAAGATTTTTTATCCCCAACCCCACCCCCCTCTCAAAATAGATGGCTCGAATCGGAACCCCACAATTTTTTGTGTGGAAATCCAACAGGTTAACCTTTAGTCAACACAATCATAAAAAAATGTCTGGAAGGGGGCAAATTTCATTGGCATCTTTGAACAAAGAGTCCAAAACTCCCAAGACATTAAAAATGTGCTAGGAGAGTGCTGATAAAATATGGAATATCCCAAAGGAGTTCCAATACTATATAGCTATCTGCGTTATAAGTCAGACTTTAAGATATAAGATAAGATGAGATATTTTATTGATTTTATATTATTTATGGCACTAAAACTATATACATATCCTAATGGCCGATAAAGGCTGTCAAACACTAACGCATAACATCCATAACAAACTGTGCACCCAAACAAAAGGAAAATAAAAAACCCCAATCACTGTGAAAGGAATTGGTTCATTGAGAAAATGCCAAATAAAATAAAAAGGTCTTTAGAGCCGGCTTAAACCCTGAACACTCTGTATACTCGTGATAGCTGAAGGAAGAGTGTTCCACAGTTACTGGCCAACGCATACACAAGTGAAGGCCTTGTCCCCAAGGGTCTTGCACTGTGTTTTGGGGACCTTTAATTCATAGCTGGTATTGGATCTTAAATTGTTAGCACTACTCTACTTGAAACTTAGAAGCTTTTTCAGGTAGACATAAGGGGTAGCACATCAAACAAAGTGCATGATCGTCTTCTTACTGGCTGGGGCAGTAAGAAGACGATCATGCACATTGTTTGTTGGGTGTTCTGCAGTTGTTTGACCCCTTTTTACGTGTATTCACAATTTAATTTTTTATAAAATTGTTTTAATTTACAGATCCATTAAAGATGCTGTTGCACAAACTAGTGAGATTCTAACTTATGAGGCTGATTTTCAGTCCATTCACAAAGCAGATAAAGAGGTCAGTGATGAACTTGCTTACAATATTTTCAACTTCTAATAAAGAATAATTTTATTATTTTCATTAACCATTCTTTTGGACATTTATATTTGTTACACATGTTTATTTTCTTGTTTATATAATTGTTGACTAATATAAGCATCTTCCTGTGTATGTTGTGAATTTGACTGTGTTTTACCAATTGATGTTTGGGTGGCCTTGAATGAGATCACTGGAATTTAAGTTTTGCTCATAAGAAAAAGGGTCATTCATTCATTCACCAAAACTACATAAATAAGAGGCCACACTCCTACAGGTGTTTTTGAGGATCCTAAGGGTACCTTTAAAAAGTGGGATTAAGGATATCAGAGGAACATTGACAGAAAGTATTTACAGCATGTAGCATTAATTTGTTTATTACAGGCTCAAACTGAGGAAGAAGATGAGAAAGGAAAACTTGTCTTTATTTGTGAGGAAGAGACTCAGGTGAGAAGAATTCATAATTATAATTTAATCAACAAATTAATTTATAGCTTTATTGCAATTAGGCCAGGGGAACAATCCCTTTTGAAAGTGATGGGTGGGGCAGGAGTGCTTGTTATCTTGGTTAGGGGTGTAAATTGCAGATTTAGGACTTGATCTTCATGTTCTCTTGCACATATAAACCTTTGATACACTCCCTCTATCTACTCCTGTCTGTAATGACTACCCTCACCTCCTGTCTTGTTGTCCTTGGTGTATTCATTTTCAATGTCTCACGATGCACAGAGGAGAACTGCACTGTAGGGGTTCACCCTAGTTCTCTTGCGGAGCTGTTTGGAGCTCCAAACCTTCCTTAACCTATTGAAAGTGGCTTTAGCTTTACTCAACCAGCTTTCCATATCTTTATCGGTCCCACCATCGTTGTTTGAGTGTAGCTCTAAATATAACACATAATCCCTGTCTTCTTCAAATCAACTAATAATTTGTGAAATTTTCTTCAATTTGTCTTCATTTTGCCAATAAATTGTAGGCAGGGCAAATGCATCAGTGTGAAGCCATTTAAACTGCCCCTGGGCCCTCAATAACATTTCCCTCCCCACTGTAAAATACCACCAGGCTCTAAATCTTTACTCGTTATGGGTAGAAGAGTGGGTTCTTTTACATCCCTTTTAAATTTAGTTAGAAGGTTCAAGGATTGAACAAGGCCAACAGCTTAATGCCGTTGCTCAATAACAAAATTAGCTGAACTGAAACAGTGTCTCAAATCAAAGTGAGCAAGATCATTCCCAGCTTTTTGTAGTTCTAAACTGGTTTGTGGTAGTCAAGTGGGGTTCAAACCTGCTCAGCAAATGGTGCTCTTTCCACTACGGTTTACTCTAGAGCCAGTCCGAAGAGTTCAGGGCTGTCAAAAAGTTTTGAAGTAGCAGGCTGATGATGAATAGTAGGCGCCTGTGGAACTCGCACCAAAGGCACAAGTTATTGTCGGCCGAGGCATCTAGGGACATTTTGAAAAACAGAGTCTTGGAAATGGCATTTCCAGGAGTTTTCAAGAGGTGTTCTCCACCTCGAACACCATGTTGTTTCATCAGAATACACGCAAGCCTGGAAACAATGCCATTCCAGGCGTTAAAAGACATTGCACAATTCAAACCTTCCACAGGTCTAAACCAGTGTTAGAATATGCATTCAATTTCATTCAAAACTAGGAAAGGGAAATGGATGCTTTACAATTTTATTGGAAGGTGCTTATTTTTTGTTAGCAGTTATGGTAGAAGGAGATGAAAGTAGCTGGCTAAGGATAGCTAACTAGCCGGCGGTTTTGGCCAGCTACCAGCCCTTATTGACAGCCCTGAGAGTTAAGGGAGTATTATCAATGTTATTAATATACAGTGTACCAAGACTCACATTTTTATGCTTTTTTTAACAGGGTCTGATCAATTTCCTTCAGAGAGTGTTCCCTGACCTCAGTCACCAGCTTCAGCTTAACACAACAAGTCATGCATTTGATGGTACAGTATGGATCCTCCCCTTATTGTTTACATTTTTTCCATGATCTACTTTCGAAACAACATATTCATTCATTAATTTTATTTTAAGACTGTTAGTCCAGTGGAAACAGACAGGGAATGGAACATTTGGCACTTTAGAAATGAGAAGAGAACTGGAGCAGAAATGCATCCCATAATAATAATAAACGACTGTTTAACTGTGACAATAGACAGTTCAAAATGCGCCAATGACATTACGCGTCTTCATAGCCAATAACATCATGGCTTAATTATTGTTTCTGGGTTCCTTACTGGAGACGCACTGGTCAGCTATTGGCCAGTGTTTTCCTTGTCGCGAGTGACAGTCCCAGAATTCATAAGAAGGTTGAGTATGATAGTCCGGGTAAACGTAGTCCTAAATAGGACTTTTGTTATTGACAGTGTTTGACGTTTCAAAAACCTGTGCAATAGTCATCTTCTTAGTCAAAGTGAGTTGTATCACGTTAGTTGATGGTATTAAACTCTGGTTATTGACCAAATTGGTCATTTAAGTGGCAACGAAATTGGTCGTCTGTCAGTTAAGCCGTGATGTTGTTGGCTATGAAGACTCATAATGTCGTTGGTGCGTTTCGATTCGTCTATTGTCACAGTTACACAGTTATTTATTGTTAGTTAAATTGTCAGTTGTCCAGTCATTATCTCATAGTTAGTTTTGCTTGATTCTGTCAACAAGTCATTTGTACGGTGTTGTTGTTGTTGTTGACTATGATTCAGTGGCATTTGTTCTAAGTTTGTTCTTTGCCAAATTAACTCCACCCAAATTTCTTCTTGGTTTAACTTGTTTGGGCAATTTCATTATTTTGTGTTGTTTTAATCTCTAATTTTCGTACGTTAGGATTTGAAGTCAGTTTAGAAGAATCAGCCAGCTCAGTATCATGTATTCATACCTTAACAAATGCGAATTTGATTGAAGAAGAGGTAATAAAAATAAACTGTACATGTAAAGTAATTTTATTTCATGGCTGTGCATTTATGTAGGTTAAATTAATCTGTTCTAAGTTTGAAACAGTATTCAACTTATTAAAGGTAACTTTTTGCAAGTCCTGGCGAACTTAATTAAATCCTGATTTGTACTACACTATTTCTTCTTATAATTGCCTTAAGGAAGTTTGCTACTTTGTACCCTTTGCTAATTGCTTCACCATTTCATTCTATCATTTTCTTTTGTAGGTTAACTAACATTTTCTCTTAGGTCATCATTTTCATTTTTATATATAATATTCTCATATCCTTATCTCTTGGGGACTTAGTATTGATATCGTTAGGTGAAAATTGATACTCAGTCACCCTGGGGACTTTGTAAGCATTATGTAATACTATTATTTTGTTTTCAGCTGCAAGTGACTGGCTTGTCATGGAATTCTACTGGATCTGTAATTGCTGCTTCGTATCCTTCTACAACATTTTAATTATTTGAGAAAGATTTTTTCAATCAGAGACACAGGGGCCTTGGAAGAAAAAATTTGAATTCTATCAGTAGGAGTCAAAGCTATGACGTTCTAATTACTATTCATGATGCTGTGCAACTAAGCTACAGGAGACTCCTGGGAGCTAAGGCCACTAAAGGACATTTTAATACCAGTAGTCCAAGACATAAAATATATCCAAAGGTGGATTTTACCAAATTTTCCAGTTATAACTTGATATTTTTTTAATTGTCCATTTCTTGTACTGGGTGTGAATATTGACTTTACCTGTCTTTTCCTCATTTTGAGTAGTGCAAACTTGACAATACCACTGTAGATATGGGAGATTTGACCATGAGGACTGGTGTACTCACAAATCTACACTTTGCACGTGGAACATTGACAGAAAAGCTCTTGATCCAAACAAACCTGATGCTAACATAGACTTGTCAGTAAGTAACTTCCTTTGCAGTTCAGATGGCGTTAAAAGTTTCTTGAAAAATGCCTTATTAAAATAAGTGATTCTTCAATAATTTTTTTAGTCCTGTAATGACTTTCCTCCCTTCCCTTCCAGTGTTGGGCAACAAAATGTGACTTTTTTTTAGTTGTTGTTAAAAATTTATCGAATTATTTATAAAACCATTATGTACTGGTTGTTGTCACTTTTTTCAGAGCTGTTTGATGTGTATTACATTTCACCCTAAACTGCCGTCAGTCATAGCCGGAGGAACATTTAACGGTTAGTCTTGATGCACCAAACGATAAAAATTTAGATTATTATATTGTTTTGGGTTACCACCGACAGGCATATGCAGAATTCGAAAAAAGTCCTATTCAATAGTGTAGGAAAAGTCTATGTTTTTGCTCGGTAAGTAACATGTAAAGCTCACTTGCCCAATGGACAAGGGTGCAAGCTAGTCATCTTCTAACCAAATCGTTAAGTTAAACTAAGATGAGCAAGAAGTGGCCCTGGGCATTAGCAAAATGTGAGAGCTGCTTGCTTAAAGCACAAGCTGGGATTCAAGTCTTGTTTGAGCCCAGATATGACCCATATCCATCTTGTGTTTCCTTTTTCGTAATTAATTTTCTTGAATGTGTTAATAAAAGTTTACGTGTTTTCTGTAGCTGTAAATTTTTTAACATACTCTTTGAATGATTTTCAGGTGAAGTGCAAGTTTGGGACATGGGAAGAGAAGATGACACTCTTATTGCTACATCTGGGATGGGATCAGATTCACACCGTGAACCAGTCACCAAGGTAAAATAATTTATGTGGTAATATTTAAAGTAATGCTGGGATTCTGTTTCCATATGCAACTGACAGTCCTGTTGCCTGCATTGGTGGTGTTTGAGGAGGAAGGTGATCAAAAGAAAATCTAGGTGCTCTGGAGTGCAAATGGTGAGCTTGTTACGCCGCAAAATGTAACAATTGACGCAAAATGTAACATTAACGCAAAATGTAACAACTTTTGACGCGAAATGTAACATTAACCCGAAATGTAACAACTTTTGACGCAAAATGCAACAACTTTTTAATGCGAAATGTAACAACTTTTTGACGCAAAAAGAAACAATATTTTTAACGCGATATGTAACAAGCAAAATGTTACAGCCTTGAAATAACTGAGAGACTCGGACATGAGCCTTGTAGATAAAGCGTAAATTGTCTGGCGGTTACAAAAACAGTTTATTTATAACGTTTTCTTAATAACGTCAAATAAACTTACAAAACGTTTTCCCATAATAGTAACTAAACCCTGAAACAGTCGAACGAATTGTTGTTTAGTATATCTTTCTGTACATATGTGTGTCGACGCTGAAAAGAAAGTTGGCGTTACAACATCCAGGACGTATCAGATGGGTTAGGATTGTACATTTTTAGCATACTCCCTCTAGGGAGTTAAGGCCGTATGAAATCGAGGCGAGTATCGATTACTGATCATTCTTTTCACACTTTCATCGATTGAGGACGCTTTCTGTTTATATCCGACGCTGTCTGTTTTTACCCACCTCCTCCCCTTTTTCCTAAAAGGAAAGTGTAGCGGAGCAGTCATCCGATTGCGTGAGATAATCAACAGTGTTTTAAAATGGGCGTTGGCATGGTTAAGTTTTAAGGCAGCAGGACTGGGTTGGTATGAAATTTCTCACATTTACGGGAAGTCCGGCAAGAAATGAGAAATTTCATATCTATCTTATTGACTACGTTCAGAAAGATTACCCTTCTTAACTTTTACTTTTAACTTGCATTTCAATTGCTGATTGGTGCGTGTTTCCTACGGTGTTATTGTTCACATTTCTAGTCATATTCTTTTCGCATAGCTTGGGATATTTTCCATACATTATGTTTAATAAGTTAGCGTTGTTGTTATTGTCCATACTGCTATTCCAAGGATATACATGACTTGTAACTTTATCACCTGTTTTACGATCTTTTGTAAGTTTATTTGACTTATAAGAAAACTTTATGAATAAAATGTTTTTGTAACCACCAGACAATTTACACTTTATGTACAAGGCTCATGTCCAAGTCTCTCAGTTTTTTCAAGGCTGTAACATTTTGCTTGTTACATTTCCCGTTAAAAATATTGTTTCATTTTGCGTCAAAAAGTTGTTACATTTCGCGTTAAAAAGTTGTTATATTTTGCGTCAGAAGTTGTTACATTTCGGGTTAATGTTACATTTCGCGTCAAAAGTTGTTACATTTCGCGTTAATGTTACATTTTGCGTCAATTGTTACATTTTGCGGCGTAACAGAGCTAGCTTCCTTGCTTTCCCTTCTCACGCAACTGAATTCCCCCTTTTCTCTCTTTTTTTAAAATGCTTGCCATGTAAGCTAGCACTCCATTGGCAAGTTAGATGTAAATGTGAAAAAAATTAGGTAAAGACAATAGGATAATGGTCTATTGAAGTTACAAGAGTTTTCTGTGTCTCTATAATTATAATACTCTGTTCTGTGTCTGTTTCGTGCTCTTATTGTGTATTATTATTCATTCAAAATATTTCCTCGATTCTGATTGGCTAAAAGCACACGTTTAATTCACCATAACCAGTTACTGATGACCAAATTTGGAAGAAATTTGACTTTAACGAGGAAATGACATCAAAAATGCAGCGTTCGTGCAGGTTAAGGCACTGTTAACCGAGAGGACCTGGGGACGAGGTTGAGTTGTTTTGGTTGTGAACTTGAAAAAAATGGCGGACATTTCACTCGTTTCAAGAGTAAGAACTAGGCGAAAAAATAGCTAAAAACATGGCAAGAACAGCAAGAAGACAACTCGAAGGGCAACATCTGCTATTTGGAGAATATTTGCGGAGCTGGACAAACCTAAACGTACACTATCGAAGATGAACTCAACATCCATGGATTGATGGAGGTAAGCATGTTTTAGCTATGTTTTTAAACTAGGAATTATTTTGAATGAATAATAAAACAGTTATTGAATTCGGCTTTCGTATCATATGAAGAATTATGGAGATCTCGGAGGGTGTTATCCGCCTCGGCCTACGGCCTCGACGGATAACACCCTCCTCGACTTCCATAATTCTTCATAAGATACTCAGCCTCATTCATTAACTGTTAAATATCTTGCCTGGTTCTTGTAGGATTTGCATATATCGCATCCATTCACTTACTTCACCTAGAATGTAGAAAGTAAAAGGTTCATGGTCCATTTTTCTGTCTCTTGCATTCATTTGCCACTGTTCTTTTTAGCAATTTAAAGGTCAGTCCCCATCTTTTTTCAAACAATATCTAGAATGCTACAAGAGTGCATATTTAGGTGTTAATGGAATCAGTTTCATCAAAACCATTGTCTTTTATTGTGTTAGGTCCTGTGGACGTTGGACACCAGTTCTAAAGCAAGCAAGTATCAGGTAGAAGATTTTGCTGGAAAGATAGAATCTTTTTGTTGTTGTTGTTGTTTTTTTTTTTCCATGAAGGGGCAGGGGTGGGGCAGAGAGCATTGACCTCCTGAACTGAAATATATTTTATGGTGTGGCTTAGTTCTTTTCAAAATTGTCTACCAAAACATCATGAAATTGTGATATCTTCATATCACAAGCCCCTGCTCAACCCTCAGCACTCTAAGGCAAATTCCCTAAAATTTTCTCAATATACTGCTAACCCTTGCTGGTTTTGTAAAATGATGTTTCAACTTGCTTTACTTGTCCTAGGTCCTCAGCATAAGTGGAGATGGCAAGTTGCTCATCTGGCAACTGTCACCTGGATCACATGACCTCAAACTGGTCAGTGGATTCATCTTACAGACAGAGAGTGTTCCTCGCAGCATGCGCTTGAGCAAAGCCCGTGGTGATGCAGAAATGGGAGGTACTGTACTCTTCTGGTGATAAATTACTTTGTGTGTAGCGACACTCATGTTGACGTGACCTATTGATATTAATGTATCTCTAGTCTGAAAAAAGCCACTCTCATTTTTTGGCTGATTTTCTATTACCGGTTGGCTTTGTTCACATGGCACTGGACAAATTTGAGACTGTTTGAAAATTTGTCCATTTAGGTGTTATGTTTACACAGAACCAAGATTTAGATGCCTAGCCATTCAAAGTTCCATGTGAACAGAGCAAAAATATTGAACAGTCCCGTGTGAGCAAAGTGTCCCATCAAATTTAAATTCAACTGGTCAAAAATTCTTCCAGTGCCGTTTGAACATAACGTAGCTTACTTATCATTTTTATAGTCTCCATGTCTATCACTCTCACTCACTCTGCATACTGTATATTAAATTTCTCTTGTTTTTTTTCCTCAATTTCCAGTGACAAGCATGTCTTTTTCTCATGAAGATCGCAGTCTGTTTGTGTTAGGATCAGAGGCAGGGGGTGTATTCAAATGCTCCATGACCTCAAGGGGTCCTCCTCTAACAAGTAAGTTACCTGCAGCCTAAACCATAAATTAGCCCACTCAGAAATGAGAATGTCTCCTTTGGCTTGTTTCACCAATAGTCAGCAGATTTCTGTTTGCACTATTTATTCTCATAAAACCTCCATGTGAGCAGTGAGCCCCAGCAAAGCGGCACAAGCACTGAGTCCCAAGCAGTGGGTGGGGTTGGATTATTTATTTATTTTATTTGTTTATTTTATTTCTTTTTTTTTTTTTCATTTTTTTCATGTACTCAATTTCAATTTCAGGGCAGGAAATATGACTTAACTGAGTGTTTTAGCCTGAATAAGGTGTTCAAAAAGGGGTCGAAGAATGCCGATTTATCGAATAAATCTTAGTCCTTAAAAAATATAATTTGTCCTTGAAAAGTCCACCAAAAGTCATTAAAAATTATTTTTCTGAAGTTATATGAACCATGCCTATAGCTGAGACGTTAGAGTGTCTAACCGGTAACTGGCAGGTCATGCATTCAATTCCTGCTGAGGGCTCACATTTTTTTTTCCGAGCATTTCTTCACATAGTTCACATCTACTTCAGCTTGAAAATCGCTGGTCTATTTTGCACCCAACTAGACGCTAAAAGAGCCTTTGTGACCTGTGGCACAACCAGACTGGCTGCACCGTCCTTTACTCATTGAGGAACGTATTTATCTCCTTTGCAAAGTCATTTCCCCTTGTACGTAGACATTTTTTTGTTGTTGTTGTAATTATGTTTTTGCGATATCATTGTTATTATTTCAGACACACACAGTTCAGTGCCGCTACGTTCTCCGGTAACCTTCGCATTCTCTCCTCATTTTGGTCCCGTGTTTTCTGTGGATTGTTCACCTTATCATAGGAATCTTTTCCTCACGTGTGGTACAGACGCGTCTGTCAGACTCTACTCCATGCTACAGGTCAGCAATTGTATGTTTCCCTTGTGTAAGCGTAGGTTAAATCCCTTCTGTCTTTTCTATACTAAGACGTTTCAAAGTGCGCGGATTTTGCTTTAAGCAAACCAGTTACATGTATGGTTAGTTGACCATGCATCGTTCAGTTCCATGGACATGTGCACGACGGACCTTTAGATTCGAGACGAGGAAATGCTTTCGTTTCGTCCGAAAGTCGATTCACCCGACGGCGTTCGCAAGGACATTGGTCGATTCGCCCGATGGCATACAACACTCTACAACGTGGTGAAAATACCTTTAGAGGTGTTATTTTAGTTACCCTAGGATTCCACATGAGCAGTCACTGTCTTTCCATGCATATTCCCTTTTTTCAGGCTTAAAGAACGACAAATATGCTTCGGGCGAATTGACTTAGTCTGGGCGAACTTCTATTGGGCGAAACGACCTGATACTCAGACGAGGACGACCACGCGGACGAGACTTGAATTCAAGTTTTTTCGCGTTTTCCCAAAAAATAGACACCCTGGAAAGCCTTTTGTTACTTCTTCTCTACAGAAAAGTTAACCAAGTTCAACTGCAGTTTTCGACTTTACCTTGCGAGTTCTGGTTAAAGGGCCCAAGACTTAACAACTTGTACAAGACTTTTTTTCCACTGCCATTGTTTTCACTACATAAACTTAGAACTAAGTGGTCCAAACCAGGTCAAATATGTGGGGCGAACACTTTTCGGGATGGGACCACTCTGGCATTGTTCATTAAATCCTCCCTAGCATAGACGATTCTTTTCATTGCCAAGTAGTCCGTTATTGCATTTACTACAGGGGGGACCTTAGATTGCTTCCTCCAGTGAAGTGAAATACGAGTGGAATAAAAAGTATTTCCTTTTCTCAGTCCAAGCCTTTGTTCTCTGTGGAGCCTGGTGCAGGGTACTTGTTCAGAGTTCGCTGGTCACCCTCGAGACCTTTGGTGTTTTCTGTGGTCACAGCCGATGGTAGATTACTTATTTATGACTTAAAGGTGAGTGTAAATGTTCACTTCGTTGGTGTCCTGTGGTCAATTTAGTAAAAGTTTTACACGTGTAATTCACAAGTGCAGCCACGGGTCTGAAAACAACAACTGCACTTGTAAATCACACTTGTGAAAGTTTTATTGAATTGCCCCCAGATTAGGTTTGCCTTAGAAATGTAAATTTTCAAACGGCACCCCTTACAGTTCGCCCTTCAGCTCCCTTAGCTAAATTTAGCCTGCGAACACGTTCTCTACTTTCTCCCTCTTCCACGCTGTTCCGCAAAAATTCCGAAATTTTTAGTTGATTTTATAGTTGTTCATAACAGTCTTTCATAACGGATATTTCAATAATAGGTGATCTGAGCCCTTTTGCAAGCATTATATAAATGTGAATTTAACTAAGTGAAAGTATTTTTGAATTGTCCCCAGATTAGGTTTGCTTTAGAAATGTAAACTTTCGAATGGCACCCCTTACAGTTCGCCCTTGGGACGAGGCTGGGCATTAACTGTTGACGCAAGGGGAATAGGCGGAGGCGTATTGAATTACTGTGAGAATATTTATTTTGTAGATTAACCGCATCAACCCAGTTGTCTCATTGGACGTCACGGCCAATAAATCACCAGTCTATTCACTGGAATACAACCTTCAAAGGTACCCTTTTTTGGTTTATTTTCCCCTTCGGCTATATTTCATCCAGTTTTGGTTGGTTGGCGAACTAAAGCCACAGGACACCCACTCAGTCGGAGCTCTGTAGCACAAAGCACCTGGTAGTATTGCTACTCCCCACCCCTGCCCTGGGCGGAATGCTTTCTATCACAGTATTAGCCCAAGCATGGCATCGCTATCGCTGATTTATTTCCCGCCCCTCCCTAAGGCGGAATGCTTTCTATCACGGGATTAACCCAAGCTCTGCATCGCTATTTTGCTATTGGTACCAGGAGCTCCCACCCTGCCCCTACCCAGGTGGAACGTGGGATATTGTACAGCTTACATTAAATAAAACGAAGCTTTTGCCACGCAGCTTTTGGAAAGTTCCTGAAAGAACGTTAATGGGCCCTTTGCACAATACGGTCACATGGCACAAAAACGCCTTGATGGAGGGCAAACCGGCAACGCAATGGGACGTAGAAAAGATGAAGGATTATTATTTTTCGGAATGGTGTTTGTCTTTCTTGTCGTTTGCCATCCAGCAAGGTGTTTTTGTCCTATCTGATCGTTTTATGCCAAGGGCCCATTAGGTTAGTGCATTTTGAAAGCCCTTTCTGTAGCCCTATGTTGCTTTACGTAGCCTTACAGTGCCATTTCTTTGTGTTTCGTCTTTTAGACGTCAAATAGTTGCCACCGGAGATTCTCAGGGACGTATTAAAATATGGCGACTAAGTGATGACTTAACAAACCAGAGCGCTCGAGAGGAAGAATTTTTAGCTGTTATAGCAAATGACGCACAAACAGAATAAAGTACACATGTAGTCACCACATTCATTTTCGTATCCGTTAGGTTTCCTGTATTATACCACTACATGAGAAATTTCTGCAATTTGATTGGCTTAGAGCAGCGGTATTTCAGCTTAATTTGAAATACCTACATGTGAAAATTACAAACCTTTTGCGGGTAGTAGTATAAACAAATAATAGCATGATTTGTACGTGATATTTGGCATAAATACCACTCATGATATTTCAAAATTGTCGCAAATTTCACTCGTCTAACGGCTTGTGAAATTACGTTTAACAATTTGGAAATAAAACTCGTGGTATTTATGCCAAATATCACTACAAATCATACTATTACCTATACTTATACTACTGCCTGAGAAATTTCTGCAATTTGATTGGCTAAGAGCGGTGGTATTTCAGCTTAATTTGAAATACCTACATGTGAAAATTACAAACCTTTCGCGGGTAGTAGTGTAAACAAATAATAGCATGATTTGTACGTGATATTTGGCATAAATACCACTTGTGATATTTCAAAATTGTCTCAAACTTCACTCGCTTAGCGGCTCGTGAAATTACGTATAACAATTTTAAAATATCACTCGTGGTATTTATGCCAAATATCACTACAAATCATGCTATTACCTATACTTACTTTGTAGCGTAATATGCTTGCTTAAATTTCCTTCGACGAAGTGCTTTAGTTCTCAAAACTGAGCTTTAGCGCATAGTTTAAGCCTAAGTTAGCTTGAGAAAACAGCCGACATTTCGCTGAGGAACGACTACAGAAATTCCATACTGATGACGTGTCACCATCCAGATCTGAGTAGTCCTTCTGATTGGTTGTGCCGCGAGGAATATTTGCTTCAACCAATCAGAAGCACTGCCCAGATTTTGGGCAGTGAAGCGTCATCTGTGTGGAATTTCTGCAGTCGTTCCTCAGACGTCATTTCGTAGGGGAAGCAGTGATGGCGTCGCCAAATGATGTCGGCTATTTTCTCCGGCTAACCTAAATTAAACCTTATAGAAATCTGGAGGTCATTATATGAGATTTTGGCTGTCTTATCGAGGTCTTTTCGTAGGTCTTTTTTTTTTGTATATTTATTTATGTAAACAATGAAACAGTATGTAGAATACCTCACTCAGTCATAAGAGTGTTTGATACGAATACATGTATTTATATAAATATTTATTCGTTTTTGAACGTGTTGATGCTTTTGATCATCAGACGACTTAATTACGATAACAAAATTAAGGAAATACGGTGAAACTTGTATTAAACAGACACCCACGAGGTCTTCGCTAGTGTCCGCTTAATAGAGGTGTCCGCTAAATAAAAGTTTGGTGAACAGAAAATATGGGGAGAAACGTGTGAAACAAACCGAAATTTTGATTCGCGTAATACAGATTGCCCTTAAGGGTCCATGGTCTTAAGACTGCGCGTGCACGCCGTTTTGTCGGCCGACGCAAACCTCGTGAAAAAGCGTCTGGGAATGCTCAAGGCGTGCGTTTGCCTTGGCCCGTTCTCTCCTCTCTCTCTCCTCATTTTTTTTTTCTCCTGCTCTCTGATTTCGCGCCGAAGCCTATTTCCCTTTCATAAACGGTCGTTGCCATTTTAAACGGTCGATGCTACCACTGGAAACCAAGCCTTGAGTCACGATAGATGTAATATATTCCCTGGATTAATAAGTTACAGCAAGGCAAATAATACGTTTCTGAATAGTCTTAGAAACCACGTTGAAGCCCAAGTTGAATTTACGTTAAAATTTATGGAAGGGGCTAGGTTCACTGTTATTGACGTATCAGTTAAGAGAGACCGTTTGCTAGTTTATGCACTTAAATTTTTCGGAATTTTGACGGGTCGGTGTGGAAGTGTAGTGGATAGGATACGATAGGTCCGGGTTTGACCCTGGGTTGCGATCTTCTTTCTTTCTTCATAGAAACACTCTCGGGTCAAAAATTTCTTAAGTTGTCATAAAGATGGCAGCGACCGTACGTACGAAAGGGAAATTTGCTGCGCCGCCCTGCGCCCGGCCCGCGGCCGCGCCATTAGCTGAGCGCCTGGAACATCTGTAAGCAGTTGTTGCAGTTGTCTCATCTTCCCTTTTTCAAAGATCGATTCTCACCGGGCTTCTGTGTAAAAGTTGAATGTGACATCGTCACCGATCAGTACGAATGGGGCCCAGTGTTTGACATTACTGAATCTGTCTGATTCCCTCATTACTTTCATCGCCATGCTTAGACACTTACTGGCACTAAGTCCTTCTACAAGATTGTTGTAGAAGTTTCTCATGAATTCTTGAGTGGCTTCATTGCAAATTCCCCACAATGGCACCAAAACCGAGTGCGCGCCAGCGCTCAGAAAAGCACGAGCAATATTCACCACACCCTCAGACTTGACCTCTCCTCGACCACTATGATAGCAGCTTAGAACAACCAATTTCGCTTGTAGCTCTGCGTCTTTGAGGTCTCTTATAGTCAAGAGGTAGTCTTCCTCTTTGAGGGTCTCTGAAAAGTGCGTTGTATTAGGGGACAAAACAATTTCACCAGTTTCCACTTTTCCACGGGCAGCAATGTGAACAAGCGTCGCTGAGCGTATCCGTCTTAGCACCTCTTGCTTTGTGGCCTCTCTTCCAGTGAGCGGCTTAGTGTTCAGAATCATTCCTATCAATTCGATCTCTGTTTTAGCGGCTGGCAGTTGAGAAAGGCCATTAACCTCGACTTTTTTACCTTTCCTTTTCTTTTTCTTCTTTTCTTTTTTCTTTCCTTTCCTTTCGACGCGAATGCTTCCCAGCCATGGATCTCCAACGAGCAGCGCAACGTCTGTTCTATGTCGCCCTTCTGAGTACTGTTCCATTAACTTCAAGCTGCTTAAAGTCGGTATTATACGAACTGTAGACATTTCAGAGAAAAATTTGGAATGTCGATCTAAGAGTGCAGCAAATGGAGCATATAACAAGGGACCATCCGGAACAACAATAATCTCATCACCTTGAATTTTGTTTGCTATAGGGCTTATAACCATGTCATGTAATACCCTCAAAGGATCTTCTGTCCCACTAACTGGAGCTGGCCTTTTCATATTAGATTTATCGCGTGTTTCTGCATTTACCAAAGAGTCCAAAGAACGATCCTCATAACTACCGCTTTCCCCCACCCCAGTTCTATAGTAATCATCCTGACTTAACGAAGCCAAGGAAGCGTCGACACAGTCTTTCAAATATCGTTGATCAATTTCTTTTTGTTCATAGAAAGGGCTATTCCCTTTGTCTAAAACCCAAAAATTGATTGCGTTTTGGTCAACTGCTATGAACACTGTTTGCGACGAAGAAGCATTGAGAAATTCGTTTTCATTCGCTTCACAAAAAACTGTCTGATTAGAGGTTAAACCATACTCCCATTCTATGAGGTCCTCTAGAGCTTGCTCGCGCTCCCTTTCAGCTGTAAAAAGGGCTTCCTTGACATTTCCTTGCTGCAAAAGAACTTTCCATAGAGCATTGTAGTTATCTTTTTGATAATTTCGAAGGCTAATTTGCCAGTGTTCTTTCAACTGAGGATTATTTTTAATGCCATCGAACAATTTTGCGCTTAATTTGTAGGATTCTTCTGCCCTCGACAAGTCACCTAAAAAGTAATACGTATTTCCTAGCTGGTTGTAAGCAATTCCCTCGTCAGCCTGGTCGCCTGTCATTTTAGCAGTGCGTAGGTGCAGTAAATGATACTCTAAACCTTTCTTGAAATTGCCCTGACGGCAAAAGTCACGGCCAAGACTCTGATACGCATGTCCTTCCGCAACTTTGTCTTGCAATTCTTTGGAAATGCTTAGAGCTAGTTGATGGCATTGTGCCGCTGTTTCAAAATTGCCGAGAAAGTGGTAAGCATCGCCAAGATTGCCATACGCTTGTCCTTCACCAGTCCTGTCTTCTACCTCTTGTGTAATAACGAGGTGTATCTGGGAACAATATATTGCTCTTTCAAAATCACGTAAAAAACAGTAACTAGTAGACAGACTAGCATAGGCATGTCCTTCTACTTTTCTATCTCCAATTTCTTTGGCTGCACTGAGATGTAGGTCGTAGTACTTAACTGCTGTCCTATAATCACCAAGAGATCTGTAACAATGTCCAAGACTAGCGTATGCATCTGCTTCTGAATGCCTGTCTCGTCGGTCCTTTGCAATTTCAAGTTGTTGCTGATGATACCCTACGGCTGTACGGAAATCCCCTAAGTTACGATACGCCATTCCCAGGTTTGAGTAAGTAACTTCTTCTTTAACTTTGTCCCCGATTTCTTGGACAATGCTTAAATGAAGGTTGTGATACTGTATGGATCTTCTAAAATTGCAAAGGGATGCATACGCAAAGGCAAGATTGGCATACGCATTTACTTCCCCTGTGCGGTCACCCAAATTTTTGGCAATGAAGAGATGTAAGCGGTGGTATTCTATTGCTTTGTTATAATCCCTCAGGCGAACATATACTTTCCCAAGATTAGCACAAGCACTTTTTTCACCTTTCTTGTCGCCCAGTTGCTTGGTAATGTCAAGATGAAGTTGGTGGTAGACTTTGGCTTTTATGAAATCATTCAAACCATAGAAGGCAGAGCCAAGATTGCTGTACGCACGTCCTTCCCCAGCTCGGTCTCCCAATTCTTTACAGATACCGAGATGTCTCTCGTGGTAGTTGATAGCTTCCTTCAAGTCACCGAGATGAAAAAAGGTAATGCCAAGGCTGCCACAGGCGAGGCCTTCTCCAGTTCTGTCGGCAATTTCCTCGGTAATTTTAAGATGCAATTCATGCCACCGTATGGCTTCCTGGAAATCACCTTCGTTGAAAGATTTAATGGCAGTTCTACGATACAAATGTCCCTCTAAAGCTTTATCATGGAACTCCTCCTCGCAGTTCTTTTCATTAACATTCTAAAGATGCAAAGACAGTCGTTAAAACAAATGTAGAACCATAGCAAGTGTGCCAGGCGTTTCAACATAGTTTGAAGTGCTCCCCTCTTATTTTTAGATTCTACTCTAGGCCAGCATGGCCGAGGACCCAGATGCACCCGCCACCTGGTCAGCGCAATCGATTGAAAGTCAGACTTTCCGTGAGTATGCCCGTACTCATTCTGGGGTGGACCAACTCACTCATGGTCTCAGAATTAATAACTGAGGAAAAGGTGCCTTTGTTTCACATTTGCAGAAGTTTGGACCTTTGAGCTTTCTAGTGTACTCGGATAAGCTCCAAAACTGTACTGATCTGGCTTTTGTGGGACGTAAAAGAACCCCTAGCGACGTAAAAATATCCTGGATTGACGACCCCTGGTATCCGTTTCCAGGCAGCATTTAAAATGGAGCCTAATTTATCTTTTTTGAATTAGGCCATAAGACGAGAATGTTGTTAAAGTGTTGTAAGGCTATTTCTACACTACACGGGATAACTCTTGCGCTAGCACGAACACTATATCAGCCAGGGCTTTTTTTACACATAAGAACAGGGAAGCAATGAAATCAATGATTGAAACTTAATTGAAGCCCTACCGCCTTGTCCTCCCCAGTTCCATCTTCAGACTCATTTTCTTGAAAATCAGTTGCTTCAACTGCAGAAGTCGTGTCACTCATATCTGTGGCTTTAGCTTTTTTCTCTCTCTCTGGCGTTTTAAAAGAAAATGCGCCTCTTCTAGCTTCTCACCTGATTAAAAATAATTAAGGACTGTAAAAGTTGTGATTTGTATATAATGTACAGATGCGTGTTTCTTTGACGCAATGTATGATGGATAAGGAGGTCTCCTTCCAGCAGCAAGTGTCGTTAGACTTTTTTGAATGTTTCTTCTTTCTTGTGTGGTGCTCAAGCGAATTTATGGCCATTTTATGTATTTTATTGGGACAAACAGGTTCTAATAAAACACATAAGATGGCCATAAATTGGCTTGGGCAGCACACTGGAAAGAAGAAACACACAACGAAAGTAAATTAAGCCGTTTTGTATTTAAATTCTTTCATATTCGTAGGTTCAAATAAATGGTACATTATTTCCCCATACAAATCCCTATATGTTGAAAGTTATGCAACAATGCCGATGGTCATATTTCAAGCTTGGACGACCAGGGGCACCCAACGACAATTTTTGGAAAATATCTGTTCGGAAGACGATTTGGGATCTAGAATTTTCGGAACATTAGTTGTAAAATTTCTTGCTTGCCTGCCTCTCCTAGGATTTTCGAACTCTCCAAAAATGGTATAATTGCCCATTTTTAACGGATTTTTACCCTAAAAGGGTCACCTAGAATTTTCGGGAGCCTTTTTTCTAGCTGAAATTTTCGAAAAGGTAGGTTTTTAATCCCTATAATTTTCGGATCACTAGACTTTCCGCTAGGAAATCCGAACAGATGAAAAATTTTTAGGGGATAAAAATATGCCTGTATCTACCGTTTTACATACTAAAATACGTTCAACAATGCTATGTTTAAGTGGTTTTGAACTATATTCTCGTTGGATGCCCCTGCTTAATATAAACAACAGCGAGACTCCCCAAAATAGAGAGCCGCTTATTACTCGCAGTCTAAATAGAAAGGAATAATTTCCTTAAAAAAAGAGAGAGAGATCTGCTTATCAGCTGCAGTAGATATTTGAGCCTGTTTTACTCAACCACATCGATCGTCACACTCAATACAGTTCTTGGAATGAAAACCGCAGTCGGCCGGTGATTAATCATGATTATATTGGTTGTGTGTTGGTCAATATTTCGCCGCTTACATTCACTGAGTAAGCTTGAGCAATATAACTCTGCCAAGCACGCGACTGGATGACTTACTTCTACTTGCAGTTCAATCTTTTAGTGAGTCTAGCAGTCGTATATTATACTTTGTCGTCTGGACCCAAACTACAATAAATAAGTTTGGAAAAAAATTGAATATCACGCTTAATAATTTTAAACTGCTTTACATAAAAAGTATTTAGACATTTTGACAAGAATTTAATACTTGCAGAAACACTTACATTTAATCCAACTATTCTGGATTACTATAATCTATTATTATTATTATTATTATTATTATTATTACTATTATTATTATTATTATTGTTATTATTATTATTATTATTATTATTATTATTATTATTATTATTATTGTTGTTGTTGATATCACGGCCTGTTTGAAATTTTTAACACATTCAGTTTTATTTAGACATCACAACTATCTTAATTCACAAGAAAGATAATTTATTTCAAGTCAGGATAATTGGCTTAGTCCTAATTTTAAAAAGCGCACTATTTTTAACTCTTAGAGGGCAAGAAAGGTGAAAAAACGAAACCAGGTTCGGTTTTACATCCTTCGGTATTTCCTTCTAAAATAGGCGGCTCAAGTTTAGACTCAAAAATCCAGATCGATGCTTTTAAATTCTTTGCAGTCGTGAAAGGGGTTTCGTTAACAGTCAGAAGTAATTTTAATTAAATGAAGAAAATTTTCATTTCACATACATCACTAGTTTCACGTAGTTATTTTAATGACGCATGTGCCACACTTTAATTTATATCTACCACTTCTCGTGCCACCCCTATCGAAACCAAAACATGCCCTTGTTCAAGGTTCAGCCACGGGGTCAGTTTTAAGTAGAGGTTTGTCAAACGTTTAATGCGACGTCTTTTGACAAGTGTTACTAGTTTATATCTGTCAAATTAAGTGATGATGAATATGTGAACAATCAGGGCTAACTTTTTAACTCATACCTTGTAAATGCTGAAAATGTGACCAATAACTAAAATGTAGGACCACCGTATACCACGTTTGAAACCTCGACGTGGCTTTTAAACCCAAGTAATGAGGCCTCGGTGAAAATAGAGTTTTATCATGAAACGGCGACTTTGAAAAGAAATAGACTAAATCGTCCAGTGTTTACAGAGAAGGGCTTCCGCAGAGGTATATACCTTTAACTGCCAAAACTAAATTCCATCAATAAAGAACTACGTTTTAATAACTTACCTTTCCCTTCGCGTGCCGCCAAGTGCGCTTCGCGTGATCTAGCAATAAATACTATATGCCTAAAGGAAAATTAAAATATCGTTCATTGTCCTTATCCTTGAGAACAGCATTCCAGAACATTGTCCTATTGTATTAAACATCATTATGATTCATTATTTTTCAATTGTTACAGCCTCTGGGTTTTTTCTGTCCTCTCACTATGGTAACCTACTCACCCAAAAGGCTTTAGTGAAGCAGTGAGTCCTACGTCAGTCTTTTGATGTCATTTTAAAAAACTTACAAACGCTTCTGTTAAATAGAATCCTCACTTAACGCCTTTTCAGTTAACTCTCCTCTTATAACACCCCTTCAAGTCTAACAATCCACACTTCACCAGTGGGAGGCCGGTTAACGACTCAAAAACTTCTGAAAATAACCACCATAATAGCAAGAGCTATTAAATCCAGCCATCTAATGATGACTCATCTAATAAGTCATACCTTTGTTTCAGTATCGACTATACCCTTATCCCAGGATCAAAACGGGTACATCGCCTTACTTTCGAGACTGTGGATTAAAATTCTATGGTGTGAACATTCAACAACAACAACAAACAAATAAACAAACAAACTGTATTTCAAAACAATATAAAAGAAAACGAGGAACATCAATGAACGTTTCAATAAATCCTCCTTTTCTATTTCGATGAAATGAAGGGTGAAAAGAAGGTTCCTTCCACTTTTATGGAATTTTGATTTGCAAATGAATGGGTTTAACGCCATTTTGCTTTGGAGTTTAGCTGAATCATAATTACCCTCATCAACATCAATTATCCATCTTCATTCGAGCATAAAATTCTTTCTGGAGTGTTCGCGAGAAATATAGTGTGGTCAGTTTGATTCGTCAGTTTTGACTTTAAAATATTCCGTGAGAAACATACTTTAAGATCAGAGATCCTGTCTTGTACTTATTGTTTTCGATACCCTCTTGATATTGCTCCAGCCAATTACAAGTGATCACGTGACAAAGTTTAGGCCGCTTATTGGTCGGAACAATCATAAAGAGAATTCCACCACTGATCAATACCATACGGCCAGATTAGTGTATTCAGAATAGTATGCAAGGCATTATTGATTTTTTACCAATAACTCTCGAAAAAAGCCTGCTTTATTTTTTTAAAAAAAGGTTCGGCCGTAGCCTGTAAACGACTACCTCCTCCCCTCGAGCAAAATTGGGGAGAGAGACGTCTGTCTTCACGGTTTTGTTTTAGGGGAGGGGGTGGCTGTACACAGACTAGCTCGGACTTTCGTTTTGAATTGGGTACCCAGTCTTTCACTCACGTGTCTCTTTGGGACATGGCGGGAACATTTAACGCCTTGATATCTGGCTCGTACCCAGACGTCCCTTGCGCTTCGTCACCAGTCACTCGCGTTTCGCGCTCGCCTTTGTGCAAAAGGAGGGGGCAGTCGATATATAGTGTCCGTGTACATTGTACCCCCGAGGGTTTAATTTTTTTTTCATATATATTTGCGATTACGTACGTAGTATACATCTAACTACTTACTTAACATCTCATAACCATTGAGCGATTATTTAGTAAAATTCATGGTACTCCTGTTACTCATAGTGATAAAAATATTATGCAGCCCCTTCTAAAATTGTTGATTTTCATAATCCACATCATTAGTAATGCTGCTAGCCTCTGCAGATACTTCATTGAAAATATTATCTGACTGGTATGAGGATTCATTTTCAATATTGCTCTCTCCTTCAATCTTACTGTGATTTCCATCCACTGATTCCACTGATTTAATATTATTTTTTCTCTCTAGGTCCGAGCTACTATGCAAAGTATTCACATTTTCTATTTCTCGCTCGTCGTCCCCCGAAACACTTTTCATTTCCATGTCATCTTCATCCGCATTTTCTGAAAAGTTATTCTCACTTGTAGCAACGTTTTCAATATCATTCCTCTTTGCTCCATTTGCAACTTGAGCCTTTTTAATCAGTTGCAGCTTGTGCATCAAATCATCCGCTCTAGTCTTGTGTTTCATCTTGCTATACAACATTGCCAATGACTCTTTCATTAACAAATTAAACTTTTTAGGGATCAAACCCTTTTTCCCTTTTTTAGCCTGGTGGAGAATCCCCTTCAGCATGTAATACACGTCTTTATCGTATTCTGCATGAGTGCTATGCTCTTTTTCTATTACAGTTACATTGTCCATCGGAGGGCATTCCTTGTGATGTCTTTTGCCACTGATTACTGCAATATTATCAAGAACTTTCTTTAAAATCTTTTCATTGTTTTCGGACTCCATCCAAGGTGCCCAGTATCCTTTGTTGCTTCCTGTGTGGTACGCTGGATCCCCTCCCGGGTCTCTATCAGGGAACCACAATGGACGAGCATTTTTCTGGTATTTGATAAGCCTGTGAAGCAGCTTTTGAACAATGTCAAGATTGGAGTGCGCTATGTTATTATACTCACAGGGATCTGAAAGAGAAATGCCAAAACAAAAGTCGGTAAAGGCTAATATAGCTTGAGAGAGCAGCTGACATCTCGTGACGCCAACGCAAAATGACGTCTGAGATACGAGCAATAGTAGTATAGGAAAATGGGTATTCACGCTCACACTGTTTTTATTTCTGGCTCAACTCAAAAACACTCAAAAATCCCTGAATATGCAAAAGACTTCAAAAATGAATGGCTTTACATAAGAGGGATTAATAAGAAGTGTGGTGAGTTTATGAAATTTCTTGGAGATAATACTGATTCTTTTGAAAAAGTTTTTTGGTCTTCAAGAGCAAAAGCACTTATTAAAGACTTTAAAAATGTTTTGGAGGCTCAAAAAATTGGGAAACTTCAAAATACTAGTGATTTTTATTTTAAATATATTGATGCTAATAACATAGAATGTTTAGAAGAACAACTGGATAATTATAGAGATTTATATGTAGATCGAGATAGTTATGAGTTTGATGAGGAATCTTATGATTTAAATATAGATATTGACTTTCCAGGTTTTAGAGAGCTTTTTAAAATGGTTAGTTTATTTAATGATAAAATAAAAAAAGAAGAACCTATTTTTAGTTGTATTCCTGATAGTGAAAGTGAAAGTGAAAGTGAAAGTGATTAATGATCTTTTTAATCTTCTAACATATTTTGTTATAAGATTACTACTTTACTAAATATATTTATTATTAGAGGTTTTTTTAATAATATAACCAACTAATAAAAATGGAACCAAGATCAAGAGAGACTACTCCTACAAAAGAGGATTTGGATTTTATAGTTGACGATGGTTATAGACATGAAGAGGATCCAGATTATGTTCCAAACGAAAAAATTATTCTTAAAGGACCAGAGTTTAAGAGATTAACCAGAAATGCTAAAAACTTGGTGCAAAAACAATTGATTATTCAACCCAAAAAATAAAATTGATTTATGGCTTAAAGATTATCTAAATATTAATAAAATGCAGTTGTCAAGTTACGAAAATATTACCCAAGAGAATATTATCTTTAATGAAGCCAAAGAGTACAAAGTCAAAGATAGCAAGATTAAATACAAACGTATTCCAATTGAAGTCAAATATCCAAATAACAAAAAAGGACCACTTGTAGTTGAATCTCCAGTTCTTTTTAGTTTTGGTGTTAATGAAAAGAAAAATCAAGAAACAGGTAAATTAGTTGGTTATAGTATTCCAGTATGTCTTTGGTCTAAAGATAGTGAACCTAGTAATAAAGAAAAAGCATTTTTTGATGTTATTAATAATGTAACAACTCTATCTCAGCAACATTTAGAGAATGAATATGGACCAGATTTAGCATCATCTCTATCTTCACCATTTTACTATAAACAAATAGAATACACAGACAAGAAAGGAAAAAAGAGAACAAAAGTTGATGAATCATCAGCGCCAGTTCTTTACGCAAAACTTATTTACTCTGAGAAATCAAAGAAAATTCTTTCACTATTTAAAACAAAAGGAAAGAAGGATTTAAATCCTTTCAAATATATTAATCAATACTGCAATGTTAAAATGGCACTAATAATTGAAGGAATATTTATTAGTAAGACTGTTACATCTTTACAAATAAAAGTACATGAGTGCTATATCAAACCATTAAAACCTAGGGAGTCTTTACTAACAATTGAAGAGGAAGATGAAGAGCAAAGCGATATTGAAGAGATAACTGATCAAGTAGTTGAAGACTTAATTTTATCTGATAAAGAAGAAGATGAGTAAATATCTATTTTTAATACAATAATTGTATTAAAAATCAACCAAATCCTTAGAACTCACCCATGAGTTAAATTTATCAGGATAACCACTCCATTTTACTAATGCCATTTTCTTTTTATTATCCCTCCTGATTATCTTTTCTATTCTAAATGTCTGCTGTTTTGCTTTCTGTAATTCTTGATTGTAAAAAGAACCTTTAATCTCTTCCCCCATCAAATCAATAATGCTATATGTAATAGGTTTTGTTGGTAAAACTTTATCAATTACAAATATTTCCTCTGTCCAGTTTGGTGTGTAACCTTTATCAAATACTCGCCTCTTATACTTAGAAATTCTAACACGATCACCAACCACAAAATTTGATTTACCAGGTTTTAAGTAAATTAAATCACCATACAAATTAGACCAAACTTTATTTTCATTTTTCTTTTTACTAGCTTCAACAGGAGTCATTTTAATGCTAGAGTGTCTCGAATTATTGTAGTCATTAACCAGATTATCTATCTTATCCCAGTAAACAGTGTTGTTATTCACAGTAAACATCTTCCACATTCTGTTTTTCATTGTTTTATTCCATCGCTCAACAATACTAGATTTCTCTTCATTTTCAGTGTGATACAGTTTAATTCCCTCTCTTTTCAGAAAATCTTTGAAATGTTTACTTATAAACTCAGAACCTTTATCAGTCCATAACATTTGAGGTTTACGTTTACTTTTGAATATGTCCTCAAATGCTTTACTGACAGTTTCAGTTTTTTTATCTTTCAATCCCTTAATCCATCCATACTTGCTAAACACATCTATAACCATTAGAAGATATTTAATCCCTTTATTCCATTTACTAAACTTTTGCATTTCAACTAAATCAGCAGCCCAGATATCATCAATCCCGTTTGAGATTACTGATCTCTTTTGAAAGTTTCTTGTGATTGGTTTGTGAAGTTCGTCGGCTAATTGTTGAGACCAATCACTACCCAACGCCGACTCGCGTTTAAACCCATTCCAAGTTTTTGTTTTGTATTTATCATAGTTCTAGCCATAGCATGGCCCCATTGTCTTTCTTTCAAAGGAATTGCATCCAGGGATTTTACCATTTTTTTATCAGCTTTATTTTTACATTTTACTTGTTCACTTTTTGGTTTATTTCCACAAACTGTGTAATCCACATCATGTTGCATACTAACCGCGTCAGTTGGTCCTGTTGGTTGTTGGTAGATTTCTAATATATTTCCCTCATCATCATGACGTAGTTGATTATGAAGAGGATTACCAGGACCAGTATAATTATGTCCTGGTAAAACGAAACCTTTACTGGGTGCTACTTTGAGAATAGCATTGTGAATATCTATTCCTCTTCCATCTAATTCTGGTCTATCAGTTTTATATTTCTTTTTCGGTCTCACTTTGGTTGATAACTGGTCCATTGCTGATCCAACAGAATCTTGAATAAATGGAGTGAGTTTACTGATTCCATAATTTACAGCTTTCTTCTGAAGATTTTTATTTCTCATTAACTCGCTTGCTCCATATCGCCCCATTTCAACTGCTTTTTTACCCATCCAAGGTAAACCATAATGAACAAATCCGTCAACTGCTGTACCAACTACTGTGTCAAAAAGACCTGAACCGTATTTATTTTTAACTTCAGCTAAAGATTTGTATATTTTGTTAGTTCCTAAACCATCATTAAAAAAATCTTTTACATGATCATATCCAATTTGTTTGCCATTTTTCTTGACAATCATTATAGGATTACCTTTTTTGAGATAAAATTTTTTACCACCGTAACGAAAGACCCTTGTTTCACCCGTCCAGAAATTGGAAGTAAATATGCCATCTTCTGAATTAACAACACCTCTAGCAATATCACCAGACCAATAATCTTTAAATGTTTGCTTTGTTTGAGGAAACAAGGTTTCTGAAATTTTTTGTCCCACATTTATTCCTGTTTTGATTGGTCCAAAAGCATCAGAAAAACCTTTGCCCGCCATCACTGACGGGCTTACTAGTTTTTTGACTTCTTTTTTGTTTTTCTCTTTTTTCCACTTCCACTTTGAGAAGTTGATCCAGTTTTCACATATCTAACTTTTTTATTTCCACAAACTGCGCATCTGCAAAAGAATTGAGTTCTACCTCTTTTATCTGTTTGGTAACCACTTGGCTCTGTGCAAGGGGTTACTCTTTTATCTACAATACAATATGATTCTTTCATTTAGTATAATGTTTAGATAAAATACATATACGAAGTATGACTACTAGATCTAATTTTTTGAAAAGTGAACTTCAAAAGATATATAATGTACTTAACATGAGTTATGAATATGCTGATTTTGCTAGATTGGAAAATGACATTAAATTTATAAAAGTATTTGAGTTGCTTATGGAAATAAGTGAGAAATCAAATACTCTCAACAAAGTTGTAAAAGGTAATTATCTATTCATATAACAAATGGAAGCCAAATTCTTTTCTGAGATAGAAAAAAAGATGGATGTTAAAACACTCAAAGATTTTGAGAAAGAATTAAGAAAAAAAATAGTAAATGAGTTTGAAACTCTTAGAAAAACTAATGATGATCTTTCTAGAATACTAATGGCTGGTGAATGTGAGATGTGGGGAAAAATTCAAAATGAGGAATATTCTTGGTTGAAAATAGATAGTGATATAAAGAATAAACTTTTTCGTCTTATTGAAATTTATTTGAAATTTGATGAAATAGTTGAAAGTGTTAAAGATTTAAATAAAAAAGTTGAGAGTGTTAAGAAACTAAAGAATTTGCCAGATGATAGTGAATAAAACTAATTTAAAGAATACAATTATTATATAAATGACAAACATGTCGGAGAAAAAGTTTGCTAATAACGAATTAGGAATCGAAATGAATTCTTATATTGACAAACAGCAAAATGTTTGGTTTCGAGGAAAGGATGTTGCTGAGATTCTTGGATATAGTAAACCACGAAATGCTATTGAGAGACATGTATCTAATAACCATAAAATGCTTAAATTGTATTGGGGCCCTGAAACAGGGCGTCAACAAAATGACACCAGGGGTCGTGAAACGCGACCCCAACAAAATGACACCAAAGTAAAATGTTTCCCCAGTAAAACACCGGGTCAACAAAATGACACCAGGGGCCCTGAAACAGGGCGTCAACAAAATGACACCAGAGGAAAATATTGTATATTCATAGATGAGGCCGGTTTTTATGAACTTGTATTTAGTTCTAAATTAGAAGCTACTAAAAAATTTCGTGATTGGGTATTTACTACTGTTCTTCCATCCATCCGTAAATATGGCCAGTACAAAATGTTTGATAGTCCTTGGAATAAGATGATAATGATTGGTAATGAGACAGACCTTCATTACAAAGTAGTTCAACTAATTAGAAATTATTATCCAGATTCTATATTAGTAGCTGGATTGGGAGAGAATCAAGATACAGAGGAAAAAAGACTAGATTCCTATAAAAAAGGATATCAACGAGGACAACCAGATCTAATGATTCTAGATTATCACAGGGAATATAAAGGTCTCTGTATCGAATTCAAATCACCAACTAACAATTACTGTGTAACAGAATCTCAACTGAAGATGAAAGAAAAGTATCGTAGTAATGATTACGCATTTATTCTAAGTAATGATTACGATAAGATCACCAAACTTATCCATAAGTATATGGCTGGTGTTCGTATTATTTGTAAATACTGTCCAAAAGCATTTCGTAACAAAAAAACGCTAAATAAACATTACAAGGTTATTCATAGAATTGAGAAAAATATTTAATTTTTGATATTAATTTTAATATCAAAAATATATTACCCTCCAAAGTATGCCTTTATAAAATCGCTGTTGTCGTTGTCAAAATGTGGGTTATGTATTACATCCAAAATACTACTACCCCGCTGTCTCTCAAACAGATAATATAAACACCAATAACCACATAGAACAGTACTACGATTTTGTATTTCATCTGTTGAGTAAACTATACGTTTTCCAGAAGTATGAAAATACTTTAATGCTTCATTTGGCATTATTAGACCGAAAGGATCAAAGTACTCAACCACTGAATCCAGATTTCTGTAACAAACCCAGTGTGTGCCAGGACCTTTCATATCATCAAGATTAATTATTCCACATTCTTTTCTTATCCTGTTTGGTAGTCTATCCCTACTGTATATTCCTCTGAAATGTTTAATACCAAGTCTTTTTATCCATTCCATGAGGTCAAAGTTGGACAACGCCTTAATTACAAAATGGTTCCGAGAATAGGAATTGAGTTGAATGGGCTGTTTTTTCTTAATAGCAGACCCTTGCCTTTGGATTTGGACTTTTTTTTTTTAACTCCCATTCCAATTGGGTTGGACCATTTACCGATAAAGGGTGGTGGGTAATAAGGATAACCTTCACCATGTGTGGGTGGAGGAGGAGGATGTGGAACGTAAACATTTGCTGTATTAGATGATCCTCGTCTATCAACCTGCAGGCCCCCACCAAACATCTTAGATACTAAACTAATTGCCATTGGGATACCAATAGATGCAAGAGTTCCAAGAAATCCTCCTTCTATCTGTTTACGAGTTGGTTTAATTACCAATCGCCCACCTGTTTGATAAGCTTTGTTAATTTGATTTATTTGTGATTTGGTAAATTCTCTTACAAGAGGTGGCAACATTGGTAAAAACTGTGGGGGAATTGTGATTCCTTTTCCAAATATCTTATTTAATCCAATTTCTCCAAGTGCTGTTGCAGCGCCAGTTGCTAATGCAGGAGCAACTTTTGAAATTCCTTTTACTGCATATGGTAGTACTCTTGCTCCAAGAAAAGCAAGTGATGAAAATAAGTTTCCACCATGTTTTACAGAACGTCTAATCTGTGTTTTACTTATCTTTATTTCCGATCCTGTTCCGTTTTCAATAGATTTTTTTATTTTAGAAATTTGTCTTTGAGTAAGCATTAACTCATCAGAACCTCGAAGATGTGAGTGTTTTAATCGAAGAGTTAGTGGTGATTTATTTAATATTGCAGAAGCCAGTTTTGACTTTTGCCCATCTGTAAGTTTTACACCGTATTCAAAATAAGTAGTCATTTTATTTTATTATTTAGATAACAAGTGGTTCAGGAAATTTAACTACATCCCATATACTTTTCTTAGGTTTAGGTTTAGGTACTTTATATTTTTTTAGTGTATTTTTAACAAATTTATCAAGTTGGTATTGTTGTTTTAATTTCTTTAATTTTTTTGCTTTATTAGCATTTTCTGTTTTTAAAGTCTCTAGTTGGTATTGTTGTTTTAATTTCTTTAATTTTTTGGCTTTCCTAGCATTTTCTGTTTTTAAAATCTCAAGTCGATCTTTATCTCGTTGCTTTATCAGCGAATGATTTAATCTAGTAACATAAGGCAAAGTTTTTTTAAACTGAGTTTTACTGAATTTTAAATCAACTTTTTTATTAAGTTTTTTTGCAACTTCTACTTTTTTGATTTGGGTATTTGTAAGAAAAACTTTATAAGGTTCTTTATTAGATGTAAAGTCTAAAGTTATAATATTGTTTTTTCCAAATTCTTTTATTTGTGATGGAGTTAAGTTTATAACATATTCAAAGTATTTATTTTCTTTTAAAAAAGGATATTTTTCTAAAGTTACTGGTGGATATATATCAAAAGGATTTGCCATTTTTATTTTATTTTTAGATTAAGCACGAAGCAATAGTTTTCCATCCTGTTGTGATATTTCTGCTATTCTTTCATGTAATACTAATGCGTAAATATTATAATCAGCGTTTGGATTAGCAGTTAATTCGTAATGAAATGCTAATTTTGTAACACCATCTTTGATATCCATTTTTTGTTTTGTTAGGTCAAAGTAAACAAAAGGAAATAAAGATTTGAAATTACCTATATGAAGTAATGTTCCACCTTGATAATCATTATTTGCGTAGACGTATGACATTACATTTCTAAAAACTCTTGACATATCTGTAGAAGGTTTAAAATGAATATTTGGGTATTCATTTCCATTTGCAACTTCCAGGTAGCAATCTCTTATATTAGCATTATTTGGTAGATTAAAAGTGTCGTATAAAAATGGATTTGCTGTTTGTGAATCGATTCTTGCTGTGTTAATTCCAAAAACAAATACATGTCTTGGTTTTGAAATAGCATTTGTAATTCTAAAATGTCCTGTCTGTTGTTGTGAATTATTTGATCGCTCAACTACTTCATTCAAATATATCCATTTGTAAGGTTTAAGATAATTTTCCATATACAACTTTTGCCCTTCTGAATTAAACGTAAGTTTTGGAATAAAAAGTTGTAGTCTTGTTAAAAATAACTGTACAATTATCAGCTGCTTGAAAAATTAAATTTGCATCTTTTTCAATTTCGATATTTAGCTCAATTTTTGTATTTGGAAGTAATTTATCTTCCAATGCTTCAAAGAAAGAATATCTATTAAGAGGAATTTCACAGTTTACTGTGGCTGATGTACCTAGCAGTAATTTTCTTTTATGAAAACCTTTATTATAAGTTGTTTTTCTTTTAGCTAACTGATTTGTGCCACTAACTTCAAATTCTCTTTCCTCTGCATTTTTTGATGTATCAAGAAAATATAATTCGTTTGTAGCAACACTCTCAGCATATGAAGGATTATACTCAAGAAGATTTTTAATATTTACAACATGATTTGCGTAGTTACAACTATAAACTTCTCGTCCATTTGCTAGGATACTTAATTTTTCTATAAATGAGTTACTACCATTTACAATTCCGTTATGGTCAGCAATCGCTAAATTTCCTCCATCTGCCAACTTATTTACTTTAAAATCCATTGACAGCCTTGCGTTATACCAATCAAAAGGAGTAGTTTCTCCTGTGTTATCAGCAACAAATCTAAGACCTGTTTTAGTTTGGTGCGCACCATTTGCTGGAGCCGTATCTAGAGACTGTTCCAGGTCAAATACAACATCCTCATATCTATCTAAATATTTTGGATTTCTAAAAGACTTCATTTTATTTTAATAATTATATAACTTTCTCTTACGTGTTGAACCTCCACTAAGAAGGTTATTCAATGTTTGATCTATCTCTTGTTGGCTTATTGTTTCAACATTTTTATTAAAAGTAACTTTTTTGTTGGAGGGTGCAGCCTTTTCTTTTGATAACATTTGCACTATCTTATCACCAGCCTTTTTACCAACATGTTCACCAGTTTTTGTTGCAGCCATTGTTACCGCTTTTTTAGCACCTCTTTTAGCAGCTTTTTTCATTGTTTTTCCAAATATTTTTTTACCAACTGATTTAAAAACATCCATCATTCCTTCTCCATAAATATGTTGTCTTGTATATCTACCCATTTCAGGGTCAAGTTTCATTTTAAACTCTGATTGTCGCATCATTTTATTTTAATAGTTATATTACATTGAATGGAGTATCAAAGTCATAAACCAATCTATACCGTTAAAATTTACTGGTCTTCCAAGTGAGTCTGTAACATAGATTCTCATTTCATCAATGTGAAATGAAGAGACATCACAATACAATGGTCTTTTAGGTTCAAACGTAAATGGAAAAGACCTTGTGAGATTGTCTGTTGGTATTACAGCAATAGTATTTGTATTTATTCCATTTACAATGCTATTAGTTATTGCGGTTGTGTTTATATTTAGTACATCAATCGAGTTTGTTATATTTGGTAGTTTTGTGCCATACTCTGTTTTTGTAATAAGTTTCTTTTCAAATCCAATTAGGTCCCCAAATTCTGTTCCTCTCAGATCAAGTTGATAATCACCATCAAGTGATATGAGAACTCGATAGGTAGATAGTATAAAAGTTAGATTGATTGAATAAGTTTTCTTTCCACCCGAATCTGTTGAGTGATGAGACTTTTGAGACATATATTGATGAATGTAATCATTAATATCTGAGTAGGAGTACATTCCATCTGTAAAAGTAATTGTTTGCCAGGTAGATCCATCATGAGTGTATTTGATTTTATTGTTTCCATAATCACTTCTAATATTATACCAAGAATAAGTCATGGACAACCGATCAAGAGCAAGTTGGTGTTTTTTATCAGGGTCAAGTTTAAGAGTTGGATTAAACTTGATAGTAAAATCACCAGGTCTGCTGGTTCCTCTTTTTTCCCTGTTTATTGAGGAAATGTGGATAGCTCGTTCTTCCATTTTATATAATTGTTATATAAGTTTTTAGTAAATCATTCAGTTGTTTTTTTGAGATTACTTTCATTTGGTTGAGAAGATGTGCGATTTGAGAAAATTCAGGTATCACACCATTATTACCAGCAAGAATTGAACCACCTAGTAATTCAAGTCTGTCTAGAAGTTCATGTGGGTTGTTAAAGTAAATCATTCCAGAGCCAGATTTTGTTTTATAATACTTAAGATTACTTAAATTTGTTGCATATATGCTTAATATGTTAAAATTTTGTATAAATTTTATTGTGTTTTCATGTGGTTTTTTACTAATTGGTTTAGCTAAAATATAGCCGTTTGAGTCACGTGTGAAAAATGCAGTATTTTTTATTGCTTTAGTAGTATTTTCTAAATCTTCGTGAACATCTTCAATTACTTTATTAATTGTAGAAACATCCTCTTTAAAATACTCAGAAGGGAGTTTGTAATATTCGTTATTTTTAAGTATATCTTGTGATTCTTACTCATTAAATATCTATCGAGATCTTCAGGTGTAAATTTTGCTATTTTTGGTCCCTCATCTGATGTAGAGGGTAAAACACCATCATCTTCTTTAGACTCTTCAAAACCAGGTAATTGAGCCAAATCCCATTTTTTTACTTCATCCATTTTATCAAATCCTTCAGTTATAGCAAGTCTGTTTTGATTAAGACCTTGTGTAAGAGCAAGTTGATTAGCTTTAAGTTGAGCTATAGTTGCGTTTTGCTGCTCATCAATACTTTTTTTAATACTATCTTGAGATTTAATAAGTGGTTTAAATGTCTCTCTGAAACCTTCCCGAGCATCTTGTTTTTGCCATTTTGTTGTTTTTATAACATCTCTCACCTGTCGAGTCAAAGCATCTGCTTCAATTTTATTTCTTGCAAGTTTTTTGTATTCTTCAATATTCATTTATATATTCTTTAGATAAATGGAAATACCAAACTATGATAGTGGTGACAACCCAGATAAAAAATATAAACAATTATTTCCTTATATGCCATCAGACACATTTCGGATGTTAATTTGTGGAAACAGTGGAAGTGGTAAGACTAATTTGTTGTACCATATGTTAATTAAACCATTGTTGTATTATGATGAAATTTATCTTTACGCGCGTAATTTAGAACAGGATTTGTATCAAAAGCTAATTCAAAAAATGAGAGAGTTAAGTCATAAACTGGGATATGAAATACTTCATGTAAGTAATGATGAAATAATCCCAGTGTCAGAAATGGATTACGAAGACAATCAAAAACTTGTGATATTCGATGACTATGTTTGTGATAAAAACCAGAGACAACTGATTGATTATTTTATTCAAGGACGACATAAGAATTGTTCGGTGGTGTATCTCAGTCAATCGTTTTACAAAACTCCAAAGGACATTCGGTTGAATTGTTCTCATTACTGCCTGTACGAATTTCCATCATCAAGGGAAGCCAACAGAATATCATCTGAGTTGGGAGTTAATAAAGAAGATTACCACTCAGCAACTAAAAAACCGTATTCATTTCTATACGTTGATAAACCAAGAAAACGTATTGCAAAAAACTTTACTGGTAATCTAACCAATAATTAAAATGGGAATATTTAACGAACAATCTTTAGATCATCCCTTTGCTAAGGGAATACAAGGAGCACCAGGAGTTGGTTTTAATCTAACTTCAAGTGGAGATTATGATACGATAAATAAAAAACTAAGAAATGTTGGCGCACCTAGTGTTAATACTGATGCTGCTACAAAAAAATATGTTGATGACAATTCCACTGGAACTCCCTCAACATCACGACTAACAGTTGATTCAAACATTGATATGAAGGACCGCTTTCGTATTTTAAACCTCAAACATCCGGTTGACTCAGATGAGCCAGCCACAAAACAATACTCAGACAGTCGTTTTCTTGACAGAAATGGTTCACGAACAATGATTGGCAATCTAAGCATGAATAATAATAAAATAATTAAATTTGGCACACCAACAGCTAATGATGACGCCGCAACAAAAAAATATGTTGATGATAATTCTAGTGGATCACCCAAAACATCACAGCTAACAGTTGATTCAAACATTGATATGAAGGACCGCTACCGAATTACAAATCTTGTCGCACCACAGGATTCTAAAGATCCAGCAACAAAATATTACGTAGACAACACATTTCTTGACACAGATGGATCTTACCCAATGAAAGGAAATCTTAATATGGACAACAATCGAATATTAAATCTGCCAGCTCCAACAGGTTCCAATCAACCAACACCATTAGCTTTCACAGATATGAAGTATCTCCACGTTGCTGGAACAAATAAAATGACTAATAATCTAAACATGGATAATAAAAAAATAATTAACCTTAGACCACCAACAGCCTCCACAGATGCTGCAACTAAAAAATATGTGGATGATAAAACTTCTTCTGGTGGAAGTAGTGGAAGCAGTTTAGATTTAAGTAATTATTTGAAAAAAGATGGTACCGTTACTATGACTGGTAACCTAAATCTTGGAAACAAAAAAATAGTTGGTCTTGCTACTCCAACATCAAATACAGATGCTGCAACTAAAAAATATGTTGATGACAACACAGTTGCTCCAGATTTAAGTGATTACTTGGAAAAAGATGGTACCGACGCTATGACTGGAAACTTAAATCTTAACAACAATAAAATAGTTAACCTCAGTGACCCCACCACAGATCAACAAGCTGCTAATCGCGGATGGGTTCGTAAACAAATAGAAAGATTTGATCATCATTCTGGAGATGGAACAAGTGGTGTATTTACTATAACAGATCCAGCTGCGGCAACGACTTTGTATCTACAATATATCTCAGGTTCATCATTTGATGATTTTGTTTTTACAACATCAGCACCTGGTCAACCTCTTGTAGGGTGGGCACCAACTGCTAATACATACATTAACAAAATAGAATTTCAATTTGGTTCGCGAAATATAAACGTTGACTTTTTGTGGTTTATTCCCACAGATACCTCTCATTCCAATTCTAACTTTTGGGTAAGTGGAAATCGCACTGGCACTTGGTCATTAAATATTCACAAGTCTTGGAATTATAATATGTCAGGAGTAAAACTAAGAACCCATAACAATTCAAATCACACTGCTATCACTTGTCGGCTATTCACTGATTTACCAAAAGCAATAACCAAACCACTTAAGAGAATAGAAATCAACACACCTAAAATTGTAATAAGTGGGGTTATAAAAGCTGATGTCAACCTTGGAGGTAATAAAATACAGAATCTGGGAGCACCAACCCAAGACACAGACTCAGTAAACAAAGGTTATGTCGACAATCTAGTTCATCTTACTGCAGTTCAACCAAGTCATTATAAAGATGAGTTTGCTTATCTCATGTCAAGTGGGTCTCAATGGACTGATGAAATAGATGGAGGAGTTAGTTTACTTATAAAAAGTATAAGAGATTTACCACCAAACAAAGGTAATTTTCATGACTATAACCACAAAGTTATTTACATGTCTATAGTCAAAAATCATCTAGGTAAATATATTTATAAGATGGGAATTAATTTTTACAGACTAACTGCAAATACTGATTACACGTTGTGTTTGGAAATACTCAACACTGATTATAATCTTTGGAATAATAGTAAAATAAGTGTTGACAAAGGAACTTCAACAGGATTGTCAATTGGAAATGTAATTGTAAAAAAACTATCCCATAAGTATACTGATGCAACAGGGAAAACACAAACTATGTACTACCACAGAATAATAGTTAATTTCCGAAAGTTGTCATCTGGGAATAAGTTCTTTCTTCACATTTTGGTTGATATTCTTCGTGGTGGATATAATCTGAATGCGTATCCGTTATTTTTTGAAGGAGTTTACATCATTGCCTATGGTATTATGGGTACATTTAGCAATATCGATCCAGATAAAGTTTACGACTATCGCACCGCATTTGATATTAAACCAACAGAAGTAGTGTACAATGTTGATATTAATGCAAATCAAAAAAAAATATTAAACATTAATCTCGATAGAAGCAATAACAATAGTGCTGCAACAGTTGCAATGGTAAAAGAACTAGCTCCTCACACTAAAAATGCTTTGTATAGATTATACTTTAGTGCGTTCTATGACTTTGCTGATGCGGATACTTACGGAATAAATATAGGCTCATCTGGAGTTATTATTAATTCTGTGAAACCTAATATAACACTACCACCTAATAAAGACCTAAGTGAAATATCAGAAAAAGGATTACATGTTAATGGTTATGATATTACTTTTTCTCCTTCACATTCTTCAAAATCTACTTTATGTATTGTTTTTACTCATTGGAGAAATAGGAGTTTTACCCTAACTAAATATTTATCAACAAACAATAATATTTTAGTAAAATTGGATTACAATAAATCAAACAATAAAGTAACTTTAACTGTCAACAAAACAACTCAAAATTTTACCATGCTAAGTAGTTTTAATGGAAAAATAATTGTTTTATGGCTAACAGAAAATTTTAGTGCAAATGTTACAAAAGTTTCAATAAGTAACTACAGCGGAACATTAACTATACCAGCTGTTCAATACAATGCTAATCAACGTTGGGAGTTTACAACTGAAGATGGAGTGATATTAAGATTAATGTACTCTCTAAAATTTTACGACATCGGCTCTGAGCAATTTCACAAAGTAATGCTTCAAGAAAAGTTAAATGGAAGTTATGTAATCTAAATATAAATGAAAAGAAATAGTATTAAAAAAAAGAGTATTTTTGAATTTAATCATATTGATAAATCTTTATCAGAAGAGCAAAGAGAAACTATAAAAGACCTTTATAAACATTACCATAAAAAACATTGGTGTTATAAGAAATCTTATAAATCTTATAAATTTCTAGATAATTTTTTTACTATTTCTAGTTTGTCTCTTATTGCTGTAGGCACTATCACAGGAGGGTTGACACTTAATCCTATTATTCTTGGAGTAATCAACGGTGCAGGAATAATTGTGGGTGGGATAGCAAAAAAGAAGGATTTTAAGAAAAAGATAGAAACATCAAAGCTGGCTTATACTACTTATGAGAAAGTGCTAGTTGAATTACGATCAGCACTCAGAGGAGATGAGTGGAATAAGGAAGAATTTATAGATCGTATTAAAATATTAGATGAAATAATAATTGATCATTGCCCATCAAGTGCTGATAACTTTGTAGAGAAGTATAAAAAAAAATTTGAAAATATAGATTAAAATACTAAGTTTAAACCCCCCGTCGTCTGGACGCCCCCTTTATAAAAACCCATTAATTAAATATTTTTAACAGTTTCTAAAAAATAAGTCATAGAGCAACAGTGCGTTTCGTGCTGGTTGTGATTTTCACTTACATGAATATATAATCCATCTCTTGACCTGACCCGTCGATTCGACGGAAAAATATTTTCTATTTAAATTAAATAGAAAATGTTGAAACCCCCCACCCCACATTGGGGGGTGTTTCATACCCCCAACATTTGGATTTTAAAAGTTCTCCACCCCCATTTTGGGTACGGTGGCATTTCTATCTATTCATAAGATAGAAATGATTAGTACAATTGTAGAATATGTTAATCTTTACTTTTCAACTTATAAAACACAATTTTATCCAGATAACTTCATTAAAGCTTGTCTAATATACCAATTTCTCTACGCAAAGTATTTCTCTCAAAAACTAGACATAGATCAAATTATTTACAGACTGACAAAAGCAAAACACTACCTAAATTCTGATTCAAATATCATTACAAACCATCTAATATTCAGCCTAGCTTTTAAAGCTTTCTGGAAACACTATAGGATTGGAAGAGGATGTGTGTATGCAATCAACTCACCTTTCAAAGAATGTGAAGTACTTGGTTATCTAACTGGAATAATTTACTGGTGTTTTCATAAAGGAATAATATAATCATTTTTAGATATTTTTAGTGTATTTGATACTGGGTATACTTATCTCTAAAGATTAAATTTTATATTTTTTAAAAAAATATATAATCTATTTTAATAAATGGCACACATCCACAAACAAAATTTTCATTTATACTCTTATTACTTTCCAGCTTCACAAAAATATTATATAGGTTATACTAGTTCATTAGACCTTATGAAAAGACATAATGATCATAAAAGGTGTAACTTAAGTCCAATTCATGAGTTAATATTAAAAGAACCTACAGTTAAACCAAAATATGAAATGACATTATATAAATGTAGTCTTGAAGATGTGAATTATTTTAGAAAAAAATTTTTTATATATTTATTAAATAAAATGGAAGCCCATCAACAAATTGCTACTATTCTTGAAGATATTAAAGGAGAAAGTAATGAAAGTTTTGAAAAAAGGTATTTTGAACTAGTAAAACATAATATTGAAGAGTTTGAAAAATGCCTTAAAATTAAACTAAATGAATTTGATGAAAAACAAAGGGTGTATTTTCGTCTAAAAATGGCACAAAATAGTATTAAAATATTAATAAACATGAAATATGATAAAAAATTGTTAAATTTATCAAATAATGAAGAGTTATTTTTATTAGCCCGATCATTATTTTTTCAGGATAGAATTGATGATTATGAAGTTGATTTTGAAAAGGATGCAAGCTAGTGTGTATTTGTAAAAATTGTTATACTTATCTATTAAAAAACCCACTGACTCTAAAATAAGTTATCTATTAAGAGATCTCACTGACACTCCTCTCTCAAATTATAAAAGATTAAATTTTATATTTTTAAAAATATAAAATTATTTATTTAACCCTTTATAACAATCCCACCATTTTTCATAAATCTCTAAAGTTAGAAAACTAATCTTAAGTTCAATAAGTTTATACTTTTCACAACCCATCTCCTCCAAAATTTTTTTGGTTAAATAATTAATATTTATCATTCTCTTTCTGAAGTATTGCTTGTTTAGTATTTCCATGATATTATTATCTATTTTTGTTAGTTTATCGTAAAGTTCACATTTTTCTTCATCAGTTAGGTTTATTCTTTTAGAAATTTCATTTACCTTTTTCTCATAGTGGTATTTCCTATGGTAAATACTCTTTTTTCTATAATGCAACCTATCCAAATCTTTTACATCAAATAATCCTAATACATGACCGTTTTCTGCACCACATTTTTCACAAATTTTGAGGCCAGAATCTATTGTAAAAAATTCAGTATTTTTACAATTTAAACATTGTGCTTTTTTACTAACTTGTTGAATAGGTTTTTTATAATTATGAAGTATAGCTAAATATTTTTTTATTTCTTCTTCTGTATAAGACATTTATTATTTAATACTTTATTTACTTTTAAATAATTTTTTTATCTAAAAGCCAAAGTATGCACTTTATCCTCTAAAACAATGCGCTTATCATCTTCATTACTTAGAGCTATTTTGTTAACTTCTTTAGAATATATATCATGTTTTTCACTTCTTATTATTTTCATACTTCTCATTTCTTTCTCACCTGTAAATAGACATTTAACATAATCATCAAAATCTAATTTCTTTTTCACAACATTTTTCTTTACTCCTTTACACTTTTTGACTTCCCTTTCATCTTCAATTCTAAAACTATAAAGTTTGGGACGCAATCCAACGAAATGTGTTATCTGTTTTCCTGCTACTTCATCTTTAAACATTCCTATAACTTTTTTATTTACTCCTGTTGGTATACCAGATTCATGATTGGAAGGATAATCAGACGTGTCAAACTTGCTTAAAATATCAGGACTTATATCTTTATAAAAATCTTTTGTATTAATTAGATAAATAAGACTATCCGTATCTGTAAACAATAATTCTGCTTTTTTACCATATTTCTCTTTAATGTATGTGTAATGAAAATTGAACATTAGTGTTTTTGATAAATCTAAAATTGCTTGACCAACATATACTGGTTTATTAAAATAAACTTCAGTCCTTTTCATATGAACTGCGATAAGATTGCGATCAAATATTGTTGCTCTTTCAAAGTTTGGACGACTTGTTAATTTTGCAGCTTTCTTACGATTATCCACCAGAATTATATTTTGTCTTTTTCTTATGTTTTCTATTGTTTTTCCAAAAACACTATTGTTCATTAATTTAAAAAAGTCTTTCTCAAAATTATTGGCTGCACGCATTCTAAGTTCAGTATTTTTTCTGATATATGGTTCCATCCAAGGAGACTGATAAAATGATATTCCTCTATGAACAGCAGTAATTCTCATACCCAACTCAAGACATTGTCTAAGAGTACGATAATGTACAACATAGTTTTTTCTTGGTTTGAAATGACTAATTAACTTTTCAACACCATTTACAATCATCTTCTCTGGTGCTAGAGGATAGTCATTATGTATTTTTCGAAAACGAAATATATTTTTCCTCTGTTGATGGAATACAGTTTAAATCACCTGGTAAACAAGCAAGTTGCTTTATAAACAAATGTGCGTCATAACCTTGAAGATTATGAAATATAACTGGAAGAATCATTGGCTTCCTACACTTAAGATTACATTTGTTATGTGCAGCTCCACGGTATTGTCCTGTAAAATGACAATGATCTCTAACTTTGTCAGTTTTTAATTCCATCTTACAAATGTGGCAAAAATTCTCTTTATTAAATGATATTTTTTCTTCTTTTGTTAAACAAAGAGGTTTTGGTCGAAGATAAAAATCATTATAAATACTTTTAGTTACTTCTTCGAGTTTATTTACAAATATCTCAGCTACATTATCATCATTATTGTTTTTTGTATAAATAATTGGTTTAATTGTTATATTTGGTACTATTCCCCTAATATACAAACAAAATCCTGAAGGTTCATGTTTTTGGTAGTTGTAAGTATAAGAATTCTCTGGGTTAGGGCTGCAATTATTTAATGGTTTAGTAAAGCATTCAAAATCTGCATAAACTACAAAAGGAATAGGAAGTTGTTTGTAGTAATTTTTGAAATTTAACATTGTTTTTGGTTTAGGCATTTTGACAACCACTGTTTCATTATTTGAACAATATAAGATATGTTTTTGTAATAATTCTTCTTTAGTGTAATGAGTAAAGCACTTTTTACAAATAAATATTTTTTCCTTACCTTTGGTTTTTTGAGACTTAATCAAACGATTAAATTTTTTAATTAGTGAATAATGTGAAACACCATCTTCTTCATATAAAAATAAGTCAATAGTATTTATACAGTCTTTTTCTGCCATTTTCAAAGGGTAAAATATTTTATTCTCATTAACTGAAAAAACATTAATTCCTGGAATTTCTGGATTAAGTTTTTCAAATTTGGAAATATCTTTTAATTTCATAGGAAAAATAATTCCATTAGTGTTAAGAGAATTTTCATACTTTTTTAAATCTGTTAATCGATAATCATTATCTTCTCTTGGATGAAGATATCTTAGTATACACCAAAGAAAACATTTTTCATCTTTGTTTTGAATATTAACTATTGCTTTTTTATTTGTTATCCAATCAGGAAGAGGAATGTAAGACGACCCATTCGCTGGATTATATTCAACAGTATGAATTTCAAGTTTATCAACTTCTTTAAAATGCCATGCACTTCCAGCTGCTTGATAAGCTTCAATATTTCCTTCAATTTCATCTTTACATATTTGAATTAATTTGTCAACATCTGTGGATTTAATATTAATATGTGTTCCTGAATGAAAGTAAGCTTTATTATCTTCTATTCCTATAACACCATCACTTTGTGAAATATTTTGTTTTTCCATAATACAAACCAATACCATCTTAAATTTTATATTTCGATGGAATGTAAAAAAATCTTTTAAATTTTTATGTATTCTCTCAAAAAACTCCATTGGAGTTAAACCAAAAATTCCTCGAATAATATATTTAACAGCAAATTCTTCAAGAGATGATTTTTCTTTTTCAAGTCCTAATTCATAATGTTCAAAATTAGCACGCTCAAGAGCTTTACGTAAATAAGGAGGAGTATCTTTTGGAATCTCTCTATTTTTTATACATTCCTCAAAATACTCATCAAATGTTTTTATCTTTTTCTTTTTATAATGTTGAGTCTCCACAACGGGGGTTTTAGGTTTTTTAATTTCTTTTTTTATATCAATACCTTTTCTTACTTTTTCTCTAGCTTTTACCAATTTTTTATATTGTTTAATTAATCTTTTTCTTGATCCTAATTCCTTATAATCTTTCTTAAGTCCTTCTTTTTCTTCTTCTATTAAATTTTTTATTTCATCTAAAGACAAATTCTGAAATTGTTTATCTGTAACAAAGGGTGTACTACCCCACGAACCATTTGCTTGGTTAGACATGACGTCTTATAATCTTATAATTAGATTATAAGACTTTAAGCCTTTTTTTAATCACTTTCACTTTCACTTTCACTTTCACTTTCACTTTCACTTTCTCTTATTTTATAAATATCATCTTCAAAATCTTTCTTACATTTAATGTTGACATTGTTAATAAGTATTATAAATTTCTCAAAAAAATATCTGAAATTACAATCTTCAAAATAGTCACTTAAATAATTTCTTTTAATAAAAAAATATAGTTCTTCTCTTAGATCAATTATTTCTTCAACATCACTTAATTTAAACTTTAATTTACTAATGTTTTGAAGTTTACCCATTTTTTGAGCCTCCAAAACATCTTCAAAGTTTTTAATAAGTAATTTTACTCTTGAAGATGGAAAAAAAACTTCAAAAGAATTTTTAATATCTAATATTTCTGTAATCTCACCACACTTCTTATTAATCCCTCTTATGTAAAGCCATTCATTTTTGAAGTCTTTTGCATATTCAGGGATTTTTGAGTGTTTTTGAGTTGAGCCAGAAATAAAAACAGTGTGAGCGTGAATACCCATTTTCCTATACTACTAGCAATGATCAAATTTCCAACCAATCACAAGCACTGCCCAGATTTGGGTAGTGACACGTCATTAGTATGGATTTCCTGCGCCCGTTTCTTAGATTTCATCAGTTCCGCGTAGAAACCAACGGTGATGTAACGAAATCTCAGCTGTTTTGTCAGGCAAGGCAAGTTAAAACTTTAAGGAATATCACACAAACGTCTAAAAGTACTGAGACTGAGAAAACACCAGGCAAGCAAAAGTGGAACATTTTACATTTACAATAAGTCAGCTTGTCTATCTTTCATAGAAGTACAGCAACGGTGACAACGATGCTTCTTAGTGCCGGTCTAAATTGATTTCTTCATTTCTTTGATTTTGTATCTTTAAGACCAGCCCTGTGATTGGCTGAAAATCCTGCTCCACTTTTTCAAACAATCAGTATGAACTGAGTGCTCGCCCTGGTTTTAGTCCGTTGGTGACGAATCGCTTAAAGATAGCCCCGTTGAGAGAATAGTTAACTTGGCCTCAGGGAGGGTGTGTTTCCTGGCGGGGAGCTCACCAGTAATATAGTGTTGATTATTTGAGTTGCTGCAAAACTAAAGGTAACTTAAAAGATAATACCCTGACAAAATCAAAAATCGATGTACCTTCTTCGATATTAAATAAGCAAGGAAAAATATCAGTATCACAAGAAGCTGCTTCACTTTTGTCCCATTTCCCGCACTTGATAACCGCGCCAGGTAACGTGGAGGGCTGCTGATCACCGTCCAATTCTTCGGTGAAGCTGTAGCGCGGGTGCCATGTAGTTTTGAACACAGAATCTTGATTAATAATCAGCTTGTACTGTTTCACACGAATGGCTGCAAACTTGCGGATTGGATCTATGTTGTGAAGAACCTGGAGCAAACGTAATGAAATAAAGAAAAGTAAAACGGAGAATTGGAATTGAAGAAATGAAGAAAGAAACAGCGCTTTTCTCCAAGCTGTATGTTGTTGTTTTTTTGGTTAATGTTCTTGTTTTACGATAGCATGTTTAGACCAAAAGTGCTTCTCTTTACCTCAGTTCTTGGTGATTTTTTGCCATGCGCAATAGTGTCCCACTGATTCATGCCATCAATTTTATCCTGGATGGCAGTAACGTCACCTCCAGCCAAATGATAGAAGGTTGGTAACCAGTCTGTGACGTCAATCAAGTCATAGCTGACGCGCCCTTTCTTCTTAATCAGCTTACTGTGTACAAATCCCACTCCACGGACCCCTCCCTCCCAGAAGGTATCTTTGCCTCCTTTAAAGGGAAAGTTGCAGCCTTGATTCCTACAGAGGGTGAAATTAAAGACAATTCTTGATTTGATGATCTAACTTCAGTATTAGGTTGATTTAGCAACAGAACGGGAACGTCATTTGACGACGGGAAAGCGCGCGGAAAGGACTTCACTCAACTTCCGGTGCCCCAATTGCCACTCTGCCATTGGTTAACCCAGTTGTTGTTTGATTTGCGCGCGCCGTCGTCAACTGACGTTCCCGTTCTGTTGCTAAATCAGCCTATTATCTTCAGTAAAGAAAAGCAAAGAGTAATGGGCGAAACTGCTCCATCTTTTTATACCTAAGCTGTATACTTGAAATGCAGAAACAAAGATAACCCCGACTTGTTAAAAGGCCTGGCCGTATCCAACATCACATAATTAGCTGGTCTTTTCACAGGATTAGGCTTAGGTAGAAAAGTAACATACATCTCTATACACTATTAAGGAAACTAAGGTTATATGTTCGCACTATAACGGATAACGTTTCGCGCCGACACAAAAAGCTATGCGGTATAGAATGAACAACAACCGCACAGAACTGAAACAAGTCGCTCACTTCCGTCTTAGTGGATTCCAGTTCTCGCTCCCACTTGTTCACTTCCGCTACGGTTCGAATACCTGTTCACACTGCACCAAAGTGAGGTACAGACACCTTTCCGATATGTGACGCTTCACTTTCGAGACCGGTGCGGAGCAGCATCTATTCGTTCCGTTACAGAAATTGCGCCGAAATCACCGTCCTCAAATGTGAACAGAGGCCCTAAACGGTATAATTTTCGCGCCGGCGCAAGAGCTAACTGGTATGTTGTGAACATAAGCTAAGAAAATGGGATCAGTTTAAGGTTTCTAGGAAACTGTCCTCCCACCACACCTCTACCCCCTGTTTCTGGCCTTTAGTCACACGTCAGTGAGAAACATGTGTTAGGGGTGGGGTGGGTGGGCAGTTTCCAGGAAACGTAAAGTGATCCAATTACCAGTTAAATCCTCTGGGTGCACCTCCGTTGTCAGTAGTGAAGACAATAACAGAATTATCATATAATCCTGTTCTTTTCAGAGCTTTAGTTATGTTGCCAACTGACTCATCTAACGAAGCTACCATCGCCGCGAACATTTTCCTTTCGTCGGATGAAAAACGGGGTAATTTCTAAATACAAAATTGAGATGAGATAATTAGACGTAGAACCTAGCTACATACAACTTTTGTAAGCTTTGTTTGTGTCTTGCGAAAATTCACTTTGTGCTTTTAACACTGATTTTCTTAACCTCCCAATTATTTGAATTCATCTTCGTTTTTTGCCTTTTTCCTAGCAGGTTCTAAAAATCCAGATTTTGCTTTAAAAAATTAATACTTGATTGATTTGAATGCAGAACCTATTGCAAGGATTCGTGGAAAAGACAAACGTTCGGGCTTGAAGACCTTGAGAGATAAGTGAGATAACTGCCAGTGAATTTATCAAAGCAACCTATAAATACAGGTTTTTTTTCTTTTTGCTTGTATGGGACCCTTCACCTACTTTACAAAAACTTTATTTTGCAAGGATGTATCGAATGCACAGAATCTTCGCCAATCCTTCCTTTGTGCAGCCGAGCTCATGCATTTAGTTGATAAATAAAGCGAAAACAAACCATTCAATGAGAAAAGAGTCTTTTTAAGAGCACTGGCCTGATATTCAGGGGCCCGTTTCTGAAAGTCGGCCATATCTTTTTGGGCCCGAAAAAGCTGTTTTTTGTTTGTCGTGTTTGTCTTCAAGATCAAAGTTTCAATAATTTTGAAAATGGTACATTGAAATTAGCAGTTAGCGAAGCAAATTAACCGGTTTGTGAGTTAAGAACTGTGCCTACTATCCAACCGGTCTTGATTTCAAAATATGGACCCGAAAAGTTACCAGGCCTTTCGAGAAACAGGCCCTTGCAGAGCCGAGATAAAATCAGGGTCGAACGTCCATCCTGCATGCTCTATTCTCACTTACATCCAGCAGTCTTTTCGGTGCTTGCAGAGGATCTTGTTCATTGGCTGAGTGAACAGCTTGTTGTGCGAGGTACAAATAAAGTGGCTCAGACTTGTTGTGCGTATCTATAATCCGCTCAGCTATTTCTGTATACAACTCTGTACCATAGTGACCGCTTTCATTTTTGACAGGCTACAGAAAAATAATAGTGAGAAAAAGATAAAATTTCTGCCACCAAAATCAGCCAATGTCTTAGGTAGGCCAAAAAAGAAGTAATTAAAGAAAAGAAAATTAAAAGAAAAAACTGTAAAAGGAAAAAAAAAACAGTAACTCTGTGGAATGAAGCTTTTGAAGCTCGCTTTTGAATTCTCTGTGTCGAGAACCGGGCAGGCTCTTGAGATAGGTCTGTTAGGGGTGCTTTCTCTGATTGTTGCGCCATACTGACGAGCCCCAAAAAGGGCGAAACAGCTGTCTATGGCTACAATCCCCCTCTGTTTTGAGTTCTTTTGGTGTCGTGTTGATGTCTTGCAGAGTTAATTTTCACGTAGTACGATCAGCATTGCAGTATTCTGCTTGAAGAATTTAATTTGTCTACTTGATCAGGTCTTTATAGATCCTACGTTCTTCGGCATATTAGTTTGCGGTCCTTTGCAGTCCTTTGTGGTTAAGTTGGTATTTTAGCCATGTAGGTACCTGTACGCCGTATAATTCAAAAAACCAAATAGGATACCATTCTCGTTCCTAGTGTCTCTTGGCTTTATTTTGGTACCTAAAGAAACGACAGGCTCTGATTATTCGCCACTTTAGAAACGGCAAGGGAACTGGGCCGAGCTAAACTTTCGCAAAGCCGCCTGGGACTGTTACTGGGGACAGGGGAAAAAAATTGGCCAATAGCCGATAGGCGCATCCCCAGTACGCCCATGGTAAAGTTGTTGGTGACGTAGCATTCTCATTCCCCACTTTAGAAACGAGAAGGAAACTGGGCCGCGTTAGTCTTCGCAAAGACTTCTGGGATCATTACTGCGGACGTGCCTATCAGCTATTGGCCAATTTTTCCCCTGTCCCCTGTCTTTGCGAAGACTAACTCGGCCCTTTTTCCTTCTCGTTTCTAAAGTGGGGAATGAGAATGCTACGTCATCAACAACCCTACCATGAGCATGCGCATAATAGTTTAGCCTCGATCTACCTCCATGTCATTTCTCAGATCTGTACCCCAGACATCTTCTAGTGATGTGTGGTCCCAGTAGTCCTCCTTTCCATTCCAGAAGCCGTAGTAACTCTCAAACCCGCGATACAGGGGCGTGTACTCCTTCTCAAAAAATCCAAGATGCCACTGAAAGAAAACATCCAGAACACAATTAACCTGGAAAGACGATTAGAAATTAACTAAGTACTGAACTTAAACGAGTAAAGTTTCCTTGTTAAAATAATCGTGAAAAACAATCTCGCTCCCAGGATCTTCATTAATCAACTACCCAGATCTCATAATATACCTGAAATAAACGGCTTTTCATTATCTATAGAAAGTCACTGTTTTGCAGTCTACCTCTCTAGGAATTCAACTCCAGAAAAAATTACCAACATTTGACGAATTGAGCGAGATGGAGTAGGCGCGACAAAGTTTGAAGTAGCGCGAATTCACTTTTGAAGTGACTTTTGAGTAGCCGCGCTGTCATTGTCGCTTAAGCTGCTAAATCTACCTTTCCTACGCCGTGGGTCCGGTAACCAAGTGCCTTGAGATACTGTGGTGCAGTGGCCTCACCCAACGGAAGACCGTACGGCTGAGTACCAAATATGGTTGCATGTTGAATACCTGTAAAATATTACGTAAAAACTAATTGACTGAACAATCACTCACATATAAGCCTCATATCTCTAAAGCTAAAGCAATAAAACAAAATCAGAAGTAAGACTAAAATTCAGGAAAGAAGCAGCTGTTAAGGCTACAGTTACCAAATTGCCCGTAAAAACGAGCAGTAACTGACGCATGCGCACAGCCATATTACCCGGGCAGTGGTACTCATAACGGCTCATCAGCTTCTCATAGGTCTTGGTTTTAGGGAGTTCTTTGCACTCGTAAGGCAGGGTCTGTGATCGCAAGCAAGTGAGACTCTTTTCCCTGGGTATACTATGCTGATGAGTGAGTGCCGAGTGGTTTCTGCCCAATGCATCATTCGAACATTCATGATATAGGCACCCTTCTCTCGAATTCTCGTTCTTTGTCCTTAAGATTATTTTTAAACGGAACCTATCAGTGGCTGTCAAATCGTCACTTAATCATCCTTAAATGTTTCTGTTATGGTCTCTTTTAATTCGAATTCTAAGTAATTCCAGTTAGGTAGAGTTTTGTAAGACCCTGTAAACATAATTTTTGTAATCAATGGTCACTCTTAATAGATCTTTAAGGGAGGTCAAAAGACTTTTCTCTGCTCGTATGGTCCTCCTAATTCCCTGTACTAAGGCTAATGCACAGTGGGTTTAATGGCTATTTGTAGCGGTAGAATTTTTACTCCAGAGTTGATTCTCTGTTCCATCATTTGTTCGCACTGCAGGGGTGATTTAACTGTATGCATCTTTAAGCGGAGCTCCCTTGCTAACTTTTGGTGAATGAGATATAACTTACCTAGGTTGACCGGATGTTTACCGGTCATAATAGAGGCCCGGGTTGGAGTGCAGATTGGTGACACGTAATAACTGTTTAATATCACACCTTCGTTGGCCAACTTATCGATATGTGGAGTGGGGATCTGGGGAGAGCCATGAAAACTGACGTCATCCCATCCCTAAAAAAAAGAATGCAGCAGGAAATCTTTGAAAATACATGTTTCAACCTTTGTAAAAGAAACCTTTTACCAGGGAGAACTGTCCATATCAAGGTATCCACACGTTCAATCACTCTTGCTATCACCAAAATGAACAAAAACGATAACTTTGACTTCTTTCCAGTCGCGCCGATTCAAGTTGCTTTCAGCTTTTCTTTGCGTTCCATTTCCAAACTAACAACCTGCACAGAATACTTTCCGTGAAACTTCTGATTGGTAATTCCAAGCCACAACAAAGCAACTGAGTGTTTCGATTTTTGGGGGAAAAAGAATTGACAAACTGAGGCGGACGAAGCAACAAAATGCTCCCTGTTTTTCCGATATTTGAAAACTGTAAATTTCACTATTGCTCCTCCGATAAATAATTTTTAGCCACTTCCACCAAGAACTGCTGTTTGCCTCTGAAAGTTTATTTACGTTCAGTTTACTTATAGTAAGATATTCCATACCAGGTCATCAGCGACAATCATGATTATATGGGGTCTGGGCGCTTTCCAATGATTCGACTTCGACGTCTTTGCTCGTTTTCCAAGCACGTTGCGTGAATTTAAAATCACAGACACAAAACTAATTAAAAGAAAATAATAACATTAAAGAACGAACATATTACTTAAATGGGTGTCACTTGTTTGCACAAAAGCAATTCAAACAAGAAGTCTGTAAACGAGGCTATAGAGGTCAGTCCACTATCCTAAGCACATGCTCTGTTAGTACCACTGCGGACAAATTGGAGAAACTTGCAAAAGCTCAGCAAAAGTATTTCAAAGATCAGGATGTTGCTGTTCAAAGTTTAATTCTTTTCCACACGCTGTCAATTTACTAAATTTTTTAAAACTTACTGAAAAAGTTCTTAATTTTTGAAAATTGAACCAGGGTATAATTCAGCCTCGTCCCCAGGGCGAAAAGCGCCCTGGGGACGAGGTTGGGTGTAATTATTCGCGCCACTATACTAATTACACATTTACTTTACATGTTATTCATTGTCCACTAAACAAAATAAGAAAAAACGTCTCATTTCATGCACGGAGGAATTCCCGGTAGCCCTGACGAGTTTGTCTAGGCACGGGCGTCTTTATTCCTCACGATTTATTTGCTCGGGTCACGTGGTCTAAGCGTCGGATACGTCACCGACACTGCATAACCTTGAAGTCCTGGCCCTGTTTGAACTTCTAGAAAAAAATGGAATGTGGCGTTTGCAAGAAATTTAAAAATTTTGTAATTACCAATTAATTTGTAACTTTGTTTGCACCTGAGACGCGCAAAATTTTTCGTGCAACCAAAAAAGATTTTCAATTAAAGTAACTTCAACTGACCACGTTCGCGAGTGAAGATGACCCGACGAAGGGGATATTATTCAAATTTATCGCTTTCAAATCTACTGTATGACATCTTGAAGTTTGGTGACACTTGAGACAATTTTGGCAGGTGAAAAAAATCGTTCGCGCAATAAATGGCACCCTGTTAAAAGTTTTTTTTGCAAAACATAACTTACAAAATTTGGCGGAGTGCGAGCAGGGCCATACCCATAGGCAAGATTACGAGCTGTTCTGTGCCTTAGCGTTCCTTGGGGAGAAAAGCGCAAACAGAACTTCGTTTTAACGACTGGCAATCGAGCTTAGAGAAACAACTATCCAGTTTTTGGACAAGGTGAATAACGAGTCGAGGTTATTTTTAATAAGGTTATTTCCATCAGGTGCCGTACCTGTCAACAGTTGACAGCATGACAATCCACCTGTCTCTAGACCTGCAGTTTAAATCTTCCTCTTGTTGATATCAATTTTCAATAATAAAATAAAGAGAGAACCATCTATATAATTTAATATCAATAAGGGCATAAAACTTTTTGCGTAGTTTCGTTTTTTTTTTTTAATTAACCGTTTTTTTTTAACAGCTATGTACCCATGCTGTAAAGGCCATGCAGATTAGCCACGAGATCGTCGTCTCGTCTCGTTTTATTTCTCATGTTGTTATTATGGGCAAAGGTAAGAGTACTGGTCATTCTTAAATATTAAGATCGACCCTCAAAGCCGAGAAAATCATTTTAAAATCTCATGTTTCTGATCCTGCAAAGAATTGCCGGGGTTATACGGTGTGGTGATATTCAAACGCGACTCTCAGGCTGTCATAGACACTATCGCATTCGGAAACCACGTGTCTGGAAGATAATCAAATTCACGTGACATAATGTACACTGCCTTAAAATCCAGGCTGTTAAGAATTGTTAGTCCAGATATACGAATTTAGCGCAAACCTTAAGTACAGGATTTACACGACGGCTGGTAAGTTGAACATACCAGGGAGACGCGATAACCGTTAAATTAAGGCGTGATGAGAAATACAAGCAAAAAGGAAAATTGTGTAATTAAATTAAAGAGCGAGAGACATTACATTGCCGAGAAAGTAATTGCTGGATTAATTCGACGAATCTAACAGACCTAACAACCTATGTTCGATTCTCTAATTTAAGATCAATGACATCTTTCTAAATCGACTTAGGTGCTGTGAAAGACTAATCAAATCCATATGGATTTTACAAAACGTACCATGGCTTGTGAATTATTTAACATGGCATTTAACAAAACCCGAGTCCAGCCCAACCTTCACACTTCCAGAATGACGGTTATATTCAGAATTTATTTGGAATAAAGCAGCTAGTAATCTTGCTGCAAGAACCAGCCTCCACTAGGGTCATGAGAGAATTGAAAAATTACTTGCTTGAACTTGTATGATGACGGAATAAATTGCAAGGCTTCGAACAAATTCGATTTTAAAAATAAAACCTTACTTTTGATCAAAGCTGTCAATCTAATTAAACTAAGCCATCGAAACATTGCTACTTACCATAGCTTCCAAAGTAAATCAAACCACAATACTTTAGAGACCATGTTGGTAAGCTGAGAGAAACACAAACACACAAGAGAATTTGTCCTATTTACTTTATGGCCAATTATATTCTAAGATACATGTATTATTTATTATGTACTTGTTTTTGATCTTCGACTAACAAGGAAGTGGTTTGAATGAATGCCTTTAATTTTAGTTAAAGAAAATTGTTTTAAACAATATAAGTCAAGAAAAAAAATATGTGGCAACCAAAATGGACTCGAACAAAAAAACTGCGGATTTTGTGAAGTAGAAGGGAGTGTTAAACCGATGGACCCCCCTCCCTGATCCCAACATGCAGTCTACTCAATGATTGTTTTTGTAACTTTGATTATCTCTTTTCAATAGTCATTTCCGTAGGCAACTGTGCTGTTCGTGACAGTAGACTCCAAAGCTTTGAGCAAGCAAAGGCTCGAGAGAGGGAAAAATTCACGGGGATCGATCATCACCAATATTTCTCCTGGTGTTTCTTTTCATTCAGCAACCTGGAGAAGGCAAGTTGAGAGAGCCTGGGGACGAGGTTAGATGGTTACCAGCGCCACTACCAGCGCTCTCTCTATAGAGTGTTTTTACAAAGCATTACATCCCATTGGCAACCCATCGGCCTAAATCCCTTGGTCCACTTATGAAATTTACACAACGTAGTATTCTTTATTGCTTCCCCACTACACTTAGATGAAAATTCTAGGCCTCTTGAAAATTTTGCTCAGCAAATGTTCATGAAGGGAAAACAAATTCAGAAGGGTGTAAGTGGGAATCGAACTCGGAGCGTAAAGTTTGTGTTCCATGACCTATACCACCAGGCCACTGAAGATTTGCTGGCTAGAAATGGTTTGATTTAAAGCTATATCGCAACAACCCTAACCCTAAATAGAAGCTAACCGTTTCGAGTCAGTGCTTAACCCTAATCAGTATTGCTTAACTCTAATTCTTATAGTCAGTGCTCGAAACCGAAGCGATAAGTAATACTACGTTGTGCCATAAACCTCATGAGGTGTCCGAGGGGGTTTAGGCCGATGGGATGTAATGCTAACCGTTACATGACGTCACGTCCGCCATATTGTTGGTGCCCGCCAAAACAATGTAACAACGCCATGTCAGTCTCCCGACCCAGTCCTGCGGACTTTCTTTTGTTCCAATAAATTCAAACAGGTGCCAGGCACGTGAATGAAAACGCTCTTTTGAATGTATTTATGTAAAATTTCTATCAGCTTAAAGAAAGGAGCCTCTGAGAACAGGTGCGCGAATTTTGCGTAAACATTCAGTTCACGTACCTTATTAAAGCGTTTGATCCCTGGGTATCAACTTAAGACTTTTTTCAAGCTGCTCACTTAAAATCACATGAAGATTATTAAGCTAGGTGCAAACGGACGCAACAACTCCCAACATTGTCGAGAGTTGTTGCGTCCGTTTGCACGGAGCTAAACGTTTGACCAGTTTCAAAACATTTGCGCAACAACTCCTGACAACATGCAACAGGGTGTGCAAACGTACCCATCATGTGACATCCAACAATGTTGAGGTCGTTTGCACGGGGCTTTAGACATTTTGAGGTTCGCGTGTGGGGCTGGGCTGGTGTTGCGGAACTGCACCATGGGGATTAACCACAGGACTGTTTAGAAAACAAGGTCGTGCAGGAAACTGGTTCAAAATTTGTCTCTCAAAACAGAGAAGGCACCTCCACACAACACCGACCCAATCTCACCTCGCGAAATGGAGAACTACATTGTGTACACCTCATCAGGTGTTAAGGGAGCTTTAGGCCTACTCGTCCCCAACCTCGTTCCCAGGGTTCTCTCCTACCCGTCCCTCTCGCTCTATAGGGACGGGTAGGAACCCGGAACTCTGGCAACGAGGTTGACTCGTCCCAAGCGAATAGCACGGCAGCGCAATGTTTACTTGGGGGCAACAAGAGAGCACAACACTCCCTTTCTTCTTCCATCTGGCGCACTCATCTCTCATTCTAAAAGTGACTCAAAGGGAAGAACAAATTTGAAACCACCAACCCACTCAACCTTGAAATACTTTATTACGCATTCTAAAAAAACATTTTTATTTACAAATTATTTGCCACGATAGTCATGCCAAAACAAACAATAAATACAGCAGAATCTTGTTAAGAATATATTACAGAAAAAGAAAAATAAGAACAAAATTAAAAGTATGGTAAGGGAATTATTTGTCTATCAATCTGCCTGCAGATTATAACTTGATTCCTTTTGATATGTAGCACAAAGTAGGCAGGCAGATAATTTAACACAGGACAGTCATGAGTAGAATTATTGACATCATCAAACTAATATGGCAAGCTCTGTCAACCTAAGCCACAGCATTTTAGTTACTGTCAAAGATGTTGATAAATTATTCTCGTATTTTGGATCATCAAACAAGCTTTATGCAATATATTATGCTTCTAATTTAGTGAAGCAGAAATGGCAAAAAATCCAAATTATTAAATAGATCTTTCATTTGATGGAAAAACTTTCATTCTTCTTATGCGTGGAGAGGAGAAATATTTACAGAGAAGGCAATTTTGAGTATTTTAAGCCGGAAAATTTTAATTCCTCCAAGTTTTCAAAGAAAAAATAAGGCAGGTTTAGAGGTGTGAAATTCTCAGCAAATATTTCGTCGGCGTAGTGTTCACTTAGTCAACAGCTCGTATATTTTAAGGCGAATTGAATAAAGATGTTGTCAAACTCGTTCCCAGGGTTTCCTTACTCGTCTCCCTTTCGCTCCGGGGAACGCGGTTGACATGTAAGGTGCAAAGCAGCGAAGACAAGTAAATAATACAAATCTAGCAACGATATCCAAGCCCAGGACGGAGACCTTTTGTTAGAATGTTTCCCTCAGATTTCGATCGTTTCGAAAACCTCTTTAGCTCTTGGGAAAAATTTTCGTCTATCATTGGCAGATAACTCTGGGGTTCGCAGTATTCCTAAAAAAAAAAAAAAGATTAGCGGTGCGTTAAATTTTGATTCTCTCGAAATTCAGAAAATGACCTTTCCCAAAATGAGGCTAATAATTTCAAATACCGTAAATGATCGATTAAGCGCGGCAGCGCTTATTTCATTTTTCCCTGTTATAGGTGCGGAGCTTATACAAGAGCGGCGCTTATTTCAACTACGGGTAAAACACTGAGGAGAATTTAGAAAGAATTAAGTCAAAATATGTACACCTCGAACCGTTACACGAACCCAGTTTCAAGAGTTTCCTAAGCGATATGATTTTTGTCTCCTTATATCGAGCGCCGTAACAAAGGTGGGTCGTTAATTTTAAAAATACCCAAATTACGCCGCGGCGCTTATTCGAAAGCGGCTCTTATTAAATTATTTTCTGTAAAGGTGCGGCGCTTAATCGATCACTTACGGAATACAAAATGTTTCCAAAAACGGCCCTCCCAAAAAAGGGTTCTTGACCCAACAAACTGTTCAAATTAAGGCCAGATTTGTTTTTAGTTTGCACAGCTACAGTTTTCACTGAAGAGACAATATGTTGAAAAATCACCTACCAATTAATAAAGAAATGAAGATGGAATTGTTATAAGATTATAAAAACCGACAATGTCAGTTACGTTACCTTGCATTTGTTAAAGAACGCTTTGTAGCCTCCTTCAATTAGGTACAGTTCTGGGTAAAATAATTCTGGGTAATTGAACATATGCAAGTCGCGGTCCTTGTTCCGTAAAAATCGACTCCTAAAAAACAAATGAAAACTCGATTAAGCAATCTTCTTAAATGCTTTGCTATAACTGCAGTGATTCTGTTACCTCTGCGCCCTGCGTCCCAGAGACAAAAATCCTCAAAGACGCAAGAATTAATAATTCATGGAATGTGTCCCGTTGCCAGACGCAAAGATCGATCGATCCATCTGAAGATTTTTTTTTGTAGAATATCCTGTTCGTGTGATTTCTGTGGCTCTTCTTGTGGTTACGTTTTAACAACCCATATTTTTTAGTCTTTGTTGTGCTTTACAATAGAAGCAGTATATTTTTATTTCAGTAAACTGTAATGGCAGAGTTTTGGAGTCAGATTAACTGTCTGGTTACATAAAAGCCCAATTTACGATTCTTTGTTTTTTTGAACTGGGACTCAATTTTTCACAAGATGAGTAACCCAGGACTAATCATAACTATTTGTAACAAAATCACTGTACTGCAAAAGATGAACAGTTTTTCCTGACTAATGATAACGAATTCTTTCAACTCACATGTCAGGTCCTCTCTTGGATGAGAATTCACAGTGAAATATTAAAATTGTCTTCTTTCCCGTCAGACTTTTCTTCGGCCTTTCAATAAATTCACTGAGCATGTCCTCTTTGGTGTAAATGTTTACGGCTCCCTGTATCGAGAAAAACGCAACGTTCAACAGCATTCCTAAAATTATGATCTTATTGACCAATGAAAACGTCACATTAACTTATTCTGTCACAACTTGTGAACAAACTAGAGAGCTTAAGCAACGACGACGCGGACGGCAACGAGAACGGCAAAAAAGCAATAGGTTTGATTAGCAAAAACAACAACTTTGCACGTGCATCACGCTTTTTTGTACATTTCTTTGCCATCATTGCCCGACTACAACGTGAAAATGCCTGAATTCACGTTTTGTCGAGGAGGGGAACACAAGACAACAACTTTCTTTTCTTTTCCTGAACTTTGATACAGTCCTTTAGAATTCAACTCCAAAAAACATTTGCCAACATTTGACGAAGTAAACGAGGTGGAATAAGCGCGATAAAGTTTGAAGAGGTGCAAATTCACTTTTTAAGTGACGTTTTTGTTGCCGTCGCCGTCGTTGTTGCTTAAGCTCCCTGGACTGTGTACGGTCAGGAAGCTTCTAACGTCAACTGTACCACCGTTGTTTTCATCTTTGTTGCTTTCCTACCTTTCAGGATCAGTCTCCTCTACTAACAATGGCTGCAGTCTCTAAGAATCCAACGCGAGGAACAACTTCAATTAACGGCAATTTGAGCTGAGTTGGAATAATCGCGATCGAGTTTAAAAAAACGAATTTTTCTAAATAAGGCTGCTATGAACTTCTCAAAAGAAAATCGTCTTTTTGGAAGGATACGTATTTTGATCTTGATTATTAAACCATAATAATTTTAAATCACACCTTGATGTGACCACCTTCATATTCATAAGGATAGCGACAATCTATGATATGAGCTTCTACATCTGGGTATTCACCCTCCAGAACACGAGCAACCTGTAGAAAAGGAAGCAAAAAAATGAGTGGTTGAAAATTCTTCTCTTAAGACATTAATAAACGAAATTGTTCTTCGTACACCAACACAATTTTGAAAGTTTCGTCAAAGCTTTCACCTTCAGTTGGTTTTCACTTGAAATGAATCGCGAGTAGAGATAATACTTCTTTTCTTTAAATATACAGAATGATTTTGCAACCTCAGGCTAGAAATATCAGTGACGATCACTGACGAGTTTTGACAGTTTTCGAGAGCTTCAACCGAACTTTTATTTTATCGATGATTGTTTACCGCCACGTACATTTAAAACAACAACAACAGTTCATTTCTACTACTGTAGACAACTAAACGAATTTACAAGAATTATAGATAAATGAATAAACAGTAGATACAGTAAAACTAACTTGAGATGAAGAATGTGTATTAATCATGCCTTGGAACAAAACCAATCGAATGCGATCAGGTAATGTGCCTTAAAACCGCGGGAAATCACCGATGTGCCACTCGCGTCAAGCCGTTTTTTTCTTCTGGGCGAAATCCCAGCGGGGGCAATAACAAATTAACACACCTGATGACTGGCAGCATGGAAAACAAAATGCACAGTTTTCCTTGGTACCTGTCATTAGGTCCTCATTATTTGTTATAATGACATTACCGTTTCTGGTGTTAAGCACTTCAAATCTTCATGTTGCCCGGGTATAGATGGAAGGGTGTAAGGCTGAAAAAAAAGTAAAAAGCTAAATCAGGTTTGTTCTTGTTTAATACTGCAAATTTCGATCATTTTTTGGTTCCCGCAGTACCTCGATAGACTGCTCAAAAATTACCACGCTGCAAATTCCCATCTTCCGTCCTTTCGTAACAAGGATTTCTTCACTAAGTCGTACTTCCATAGGACTGTTAGGGTTTAAATGGTCTTCCTCATTCTTCCTCAACAGTTTAAAACTTTTCTACAAGCTCACTACAAGACCAGGCTAAGTTTCTATCAGCCGCCATAGCATTCTTATCACGCAAACCCTCAAATTGAAATAACTCAGTACAGCCAGGGCTAATTGAAGATTGTATTCCTTCACAGACATTTTTTTTTTCATCCGATTTTAGTATGTCTGTCTTATAGTTTTATAGGGGTTGAAAGTCAATTGGGGCTCCTTCACTGTTTTCATCTCCTGTCGGCGTGCTCTTGTTTGTATGTATGTAATTTCTTTCTTGACAAATATAAAGAAACTAAACTAAACTAAGTTCGACTTCAAACAACTCGAGAATATTACAGCCACAAAGTAATTATATCAGGTTTTAATAGATCATTAACGATCGTCATGATAGTTTCTGCATGATTTTGGGTTTCTCTTGATTTGCTGAAGAAAGGAAAGAAACGAAAGGAACTTCAAAAATTGTAACTGCATTCCAGTTTAATACATAAACCTACCCCACTGAAATCTCCTACAACATTTTTTTGACCTGAATAAAAATGAATGAAATAAACACAATCAGAAATAGGAATGCATTTTCCATCCGACGCATCTAACTAGCAGGGCTTTTAATTGGGCGCCACAGAAATATTACAATACTTAGGCCAAAAAATACAAGGGACCTTTACTGACGGCTTTCTACAAGGACGAAATTTAACGAGAATTTTTTCGCGTAAAAAAGGCACGCCGGAAAGCGTTATTGTACTCCCCTTTACAAGAAAAGCTAGCACGATTGTTTTGAATTGAAGAAGCTTAAAAAATAATCAGCCATTAACATTTGATGACTTGTCTCTGCCACAGACATTTTTGCAAAAACTCGTAGTAGAATGACGATGGTATCACATTTTCCCGCCAAAATGACGCTGGTTCACGCGCAGGCACTACAGTATTGAGAAAATCTCGTTCTTGTGGTCGTCTTCATCTTATAAACTAAAGATCTCTAAGTTGAAACGAGGAAGAGTCTACTGACACTAGCACTTTGCATGCACAACAGGTGAGCGAAGGCACGAGCGAGGCGGGCCTGGAGCGCGAGACACGGCGCTTTCCCCCCTTGCGCGTGTATGGCACTTCTCGCACACTTCGCGCGCATAGAAAAGGCGAAAAAATAACACCTGTTATGCAGGCTAACTTTGCCTTTTTATAACCCTACCTGAAGCATCAAGCATGTTTCCCAGATCATCATGATGTTCAAACGTTGCTGACTGTGATCGACGTAGGGAACAAGAGCTGGGATCTTGCGCTGGATGGAATATTGCCTCCTGTCAAAACATAAGAGCACAGTGAAATGTAGATCAATGCTGTATTAAAAGGAGAATAGACCCTGTGTTTGGTTTTCGACGCCATCTTGACGAGTAGGCAAACGCGTGAGAAATTACAGAGATTGTATTAGAATCTAATGACGAATAATTTCCGTAGAACGGCTATTCTGAAAAAAATATGATATGTAAACTAAAGCTTCAGTCCTAGGGATTCTCCTGAAAAACTTTGAGGGCGTTACATGCACTAGAAGACCTAGAACCACTTTTTAAAATTTGCTATACATTTGTCTGTAAGAAAGGCCCGGGAAAATTACAGACGAATATATGGAAAATCTAAAGCAAGCCTCTGGAGAAATTTAAACACAGGTACGCCCCCAAATTTTTTTTAAGGACATCCTTTGCTTTGTGGCTTTAGTTTACAATTGATATTTTTTTCAGAACAGCCGTTTTACGGAACTATTCCACATTAGATTCTCATACAAACACTGTAATTTCTCTCACGTTTGCCTACTCGTCAAGATGGCGTCGAAAACCGTGACAAGGTCTATTGGAAACAGGATCTAATAATTACCGAATTTTGAATTTAAGCTACACTTCAAAATCAACACTCAACACTGGGTAAACAAAGTTAAGGACATGTTAATTCCATTCCAAACTCACATTTACCACTTGGGTAAATAATTCCTAAGTACTGAAAAATGGCTACAAAAGCCTGAAAGAGGTTTCAAAGATGGTTTGGGAGAAATGAGTTTAAGCGAATATTCAGATTTCAATATAAAGTTCAGACAACTTGAAGTCAGACTTTAAAAGAATCATGGCTGCACACTGTACAGCACCTTATTATTTTCTTTCACCTACTGCTTGCAATAATTTGGTGTCTGGATCTTCAATAAACTTGACACCATGTTAAATTAATTGACAATCCACTGTACTGCATGTTGAAGACGAACAACGATTAACAAATAGCTGGATAGAGTCCCTACCATTTCAAGCAAAGATGGATGATTTGCAGAACTTTCAATCACTGACATACATCTCTGCCTATAAAAAGGAAATAACTGTGAGAAACATTTCCTTTACTGTGAAACTCACAAAACCATGAACACCAGAAATATTTATGGAATGTTATTGTGTTGCGAGGAAATAACCAATAAGGCATGAGAAAACTAAACCCCAAACAGCAACGGTAATTAGTTTCACCACCACACAATTAACATTCCTGAAATTTTTCATGTGTTCAAGGTTTTCTGAGTTTCACAGTAACGCTTGTGCATAATTGAAAGTAAAATGCAACCAATTACGTACCTTAGCTTCTTTCTCAAGTTTGGACTTTGATCTTGTCTTGGATTGGGCCTCTGTACAAACAAAAAGTTAAAAAGATATATACTGTAGAAAAAATCCTTTTGAAATAAACACCTTGATTGACGAAAAAAAACCTAACAAGTGTTCAAATTCAGAGATAAAATACTTTGTTTGAACTCTATCTCTATCTCTTTCTCTCTCACTCTCAGCTGTGACATTTAACATTAGGTGATCATGCACAATAGTTTGCCTACAAATTCACCATTACTCAACTTTTTCCTGCCTTGTCCCATCACAAACAATGAAGCCTATTATATGAAATACACTTTAGTACCTTGAGGGCAAAGGATTTAGATCTCTGTCTCATAGCACATCTTTCTTTTGTTGGACTCTCTGATGCCACAGTGTAGGCTCTGTTTCTTCCGGCATTGAATAAATCTCTAGGCTTATAACCTGGCCCTGATGCCTACAGAATGGTTATTATACTTATCATAAATAAATGCACTGACAGAGATCAATAACATTGTCAATAAAATTTTTAAGTCAAATACACTTCTAAAAACATGTCAACACAAGATAAGTTCTGCCATCTTGGTCATGAAGGATAGATGCAAAAGGGCTCGTCGTTTATTACCTGTAAGGGAGGGCCCAGCCATTTTGAGAAAGCTGGAAGATTTCAAACTGACCCACCATAAATTTTACATAGTGAAAGTGCCCCCTCTCCCAATTGCTGTGGAAACTAAAAACATTCTAGCTACATATCATCCTGTAGTTCACCACATACTTTATCTACAGTCGTGTTTTTAAGATTGGTGTCTATACTATTTACAGCTGTTATATTCAATTCCAATTCACTCTTGTTACTGCATTGTACTACTTTCATAAAATTTATCATAATGACCCCCCAAATAATGGCCCCTTATCTGAAAATGAACTCCCCACAACCCAACAAGATTTTGAAAATGATCTCCCAGCAAACGGGCTGGCCCCCTCTCACAGATAATAAACCACCCAGCCCAAAAACATCAGAAAAACTGACGTATTGAAGGGTTTAAGGTTTTAATTGGCTCCTGTACTTCCTGAGTACAGCAGAAAATAGAAGGAAACTTTAATAGTTGTTCAGGAAACACTTGTTGTTTTATTCCAGGCCCTCCATCAAGTATTAATTAGAAGCTGGTTTGAACTGAATGGAATCCTTCACTAACAATAATATTATTGTTAAGTGTAGTGACCAAAAATTTTGTTTCTCTGGGAAAGAAAACATAATGAAGTCAGTCTTGTACATGTATATGTTTCTTGTTCATGAATGTTAAATCAAACCATGTGCTCTCAGCCAACTAATAAGTCGCTCGTATTTACTGTAAAACTGATACATATGCTGTGTTTTAATTTCATATTTTCGGTTTTAAATTTTATTTTTCTTTGTTTCAAACTGTTTATCATAAATAACCATTCCCCAAAATACTGTTACAATAAACTTAAACTCAGAATAAAATTAAACCACAATGTGAATTACATGCATTATTGCATGAATTACAGATGACAAGACTTAGTACAGTACCACGATATGTATGATATCACTCACTAGATGATGAACATAAGCTTCAAAACAAGACTTCCTTAATTTAAAAGCATTTCAAAATCATTACTACCTTGGGTGTGTCCCCAGAACTTGGCAATTCTTCATCTCCCTACAGGCACAAATTTAAAAAAGAAGTTCCATGTGATCAATTGGCATGCGGTAGACAAAAAAATTCCACAAAAACTAACATAGAAACTCAAGTCCAATATGGCACCAGAGGTTATGCCAGTAACTTGCTATAACTTAGACCCGTTAATTAATTTAATTTATTTCTACCATCTTGATTCCCTAGTTGTGGTTTTACTCCAGCCATTCATGAAGTTTTGCTACTTCAAGGACTTGCTCACCATCTCCAGGGTGTGTCGAAAAGGAGACGATTATTATTTTATTCAAACAAAGTCTAACTTAGGCCGCAGTTTAGGAAATCTTTGGACCTCCAGATCTCTTCCTCTGTGAGTTATTATAAGAAGCCAAATACTTTTCTAGTCTACATTATATGGTTTCATGAAACTGTTCGCAATGAATGGTGTTTACATAAAAGCATTCAGCAAACTGAAAATGGCCTAGAACATAGTTTTGTTAAACTGCACTCAGACTAAACTCCATTTAAATAACCACTGGCCCTTAGTATTTAATGAGATAAATAATATTTTAAAGCACACATTTTTGACTCTTTAACTAGTTTTACCACTATCCTGGAAAAAACACACACCTCTGTTGATACCAGTGGAGCGCTGACAAGGTCTGTTATTCCTGATGGCATTTGAGAAGCATCATCCTGTTCAGAAAATAAAACTCATCTGTAAAGCAAGTCACTCTGGAACATTTTGCCGTTTACCTAACTGGGCACCACAAAATAAAAAAATCTGGCATATTTGCTTCCCAACACTCACCAACAAACATATGATCAGAAATCCATCCATTATGGTTAAAATATTGTTTCCATGATTGACGAACCTTACTTACATGTAACATTAAAGTAACATTTACTTAAATGGACTTTTCAGGGCATCCTTTGCCCAAGGAAGGCTAGCTCCAGGAACCCCCAATGTTACCCCACAGCTACCAATCTAATCAACTGCTGCCTTCTAACAAATTCCATCT